GGCCATTCGTACTAGCCTCATTGCCCGTTTCCTCTTCCGTGTCTGTACCCGAAAAGTACGCTTCGTCAACTCTTGCTAGCCACTCTTTTTGCTCCTTTGGACCGGGCTTTGGTGCGGGCGCGTCGTCATTTGCTTTCTGTATGCCCTCATAGACACGAACCTCCTCAACCTCTTGCACTTTGACTTGTCCACCCCCGTTTGTGCATCCGCCTGGGCAGGCCATGACTTCGACATACGCATAATCTTTTACGCCTTCGCCTGCTGCTCCTGTTCCACCTGGCTTCCTACTGACGCCAGTCTTGCCACCTGGCAGTCTGCTTGCTCTTGCTGGCTTCAGCCGTCGTACCAAGTTTTGGATATTGCGAAAACCGTAGAATCGCGCTGCCTTGATGATGGTTTCTGAGCCTTGAACCACTGAGTATTCCACCACATCGGCATTACGACCTCTTACTACTGATATCGAAGACCCCGGATTCCGCGCCTGATATGTTTGTAAAATGTGGTATAGATAACCTCCAGAAGGCCCTGCAGCAACGCTCTGGTTCTTCCGGCGCGAAGAAGGGAACAAGAAAGCATCCAGTTTGGGATCGGGAAATGGTATTCGGTCTGATTGAGAAAGTGGAGACCGAGGAAGATTGACAAAGTTGATACCACGAGCGGCGGCAAGGTGCAGCAATTCACGAGCAGTAATGACACAGTCAGTATCCCGTATCTTCTCCTCGGATTGATTGTAGCTCGGTAACCAGGCAGCAGATGTGAGCTCGCCACGACTAGCTTCAAGCTTCTTGTCAAAGCAGGGCATGATTGCCAGATGCCATATCTGCGATGGATGGACATGGTAGCGCTCGCTGAGGACTGACTTTATCAAGGTACCAGTGAGCGCCTGCGGCGACTTGAGGCGCGAAAGGTGTGGCAGAACGTATGGATGTGTCTTTTCGGCATAGCATATCCACCCAGGACAAGCTGATGTGAGGATAGGTGCCTTTGGTATGGTATCAATTGCGCCTTCGGATCCAGGTTGTGGTGACGCTTTTGCTGCTGCTGGTGAGAGCGCATTTGTGACCTCGTCTGCTGCTGCTACCAGACAGGCCTCTCTCATAGCATTTGTGTCAAGGACCCAGGTAAAGTCGCTTCCCTTATCTCCACCAGTTCTCAATCCGTTTGGTCCACTAAGGAGCTGTGAGATCATATTTCCAGCCTCTACTTCGGAAATATTAAAGACGGCTGCCAGACTTGCACGCGTCTGCGGTGAGACGCTTGCAACGAACAATTTTCCTTCGGCCTCAGTTTGGTTCCCGTTCACAGCGCTGCTTGTTCCGTTATGTCCATACCCGTTTGCGACGCCATTCATCCCGTTTTGTACCTGCCATGGAGCACGCAGCGATCGGTATTTATCGAGTGTCGTTAGAACTTCGGTATGCGATTGCAACGAGACCAGCACTGCTTCCGCGCTCGTCACACATCCTGAACAAGCGAGACAGTCTGTCAGCGATATCGAAGCGGGTGGTGGCGGTTGCGAGGCAGCAGCCTTTTCTTCCGTCGTGACTTCGTAAGCATTCTGGCAGATTAGTGTGCGCCCGACCCTGAGCCAATACAAATAAAGAGCGTACCGATGTCTCTTCTTGTTGCACAGGAAGTGTTTCGATAGGCTTTATGCACGCGACGCCCGGCGATATGAAGTCGTTTAGGTCATCTGCAGAAAGAATGGCACTCATAGTGCGTGAAAGATTGGCGGGGAAACGAGGGGTGGCAAGCGCCGGATATTGCAGTAACTCAAGAAAGAAAATGAGTTTGACCGTCACACGAATAGACAAGAAAGACAGCTGCCTGCACAAGAGGATATCTGTTGCAAAATCAAAAGGAAAGAGGGACGGAGACCAAATACATGCAAAAGATTCCTGATCCGAAGCCGATGTCGCGGAGAATAGGACCCTTTGCAGTCACGTAACGCGCCAGCCTATCGATAAGCTTGCATTTCTAAAAGATTCGAATGACAAACCTCCGCGGCATTCTTGCCACACTGCCGACATTCCCCACTAGCTTAGTCTACCCAATCTCGCGTGCATACTCGAAACAAAGTTTACATCTGTGCTATTAGATATGGTTTATGAGTCGGTCCCTTGAAAATGAACAAGTCAACCAATCGGGGGTCAGATGGAGGAATTGTATGTAGTTGATAAAAGAGTATTATACTTTGTAATCTGAGTGAAATACAGTAGTGGTAATACTATCTTCGACTTCTCCTTCTTCTCTCATCACTTGACATATCCCGTCAATCGAGCACCTCTTGTTCTCCACCTGACACACCCCCGCTCTCCAGATGGCCAGCCCTACAAAACTTCGTACAACCAAACCTCCTATCCAGCTCCTGCTCGCTTGCAACCTGAACAAATAACGATTAAACGTTGAAAGAGAAAGAAATGGAAGGTATCATAACGACAAAAATGCTGAAGCGGCCGTCCCATTCACCCACGTACCATCTGTCACCAAACGCCCGACGAAAGAAATATGAACAGAAAAACTGAAGGACCCGACTTATACAGTATACAAGGCCGCTGGGTATAAGACGTTGCGCCGATTATATGCTCGAATGGACCAAATGCATGCGGTGGCGGGTTCAGGTTGAGGCGGCTCATGGTCGTATTGGAGCAAACGGTGCTTGTAGTTTGCGCTGTATGCCCAGTGGTATTTTTTGTACCGCACATGACTGTGCACAACCGAGGACTCTCAGGTTTAGAGAGGATGGGGGCCGGAAGGGATCCAACAATGCTTCCGCTTCAAAAGAGCCATTGCTGAAGCAGAGAGGATAACACTGAGCCCGAGTTGCGATAAAACGGAAGGTATTCGCCGTGCATTTCATGCTTGCACATAAGGCGTATGCTACTCGAGCGTAACGGCTTTCCACAAACAACCATATCCTTTTCTGAATTCCAACTCTTTTGTCATGGTTCTTCACTCAATCAGTGGTTTTCGTACACCTCCTACAATCGAAATACCAAGAGCGCGTAGGCCTTCAGGGTCGTTGGATCGAATGATAGTGCTAGCAGGGAGCATAGGGTTTTCAGGTGCGACATGTGCGGCGTCCTTGGCGGCTTGTTCAATGGCTTCCATCTCTTGTTTGCAGCCAGCATGGTCAAATGGGCATACAACGATGGGCTGGCGGAGCAAAATATCTCGCGCTGACGACATTTGTGCCTGCGGCTGGTGAGCGGTCGAAAACAGATTGTACCTGCCTCAGCTTACCTTTACTGTAAGATAATACTCAATCTTATACAGCGTGCCAGTTGTCGTAAAGCCATTTACAGCGTACATTGGAAATTCCTTCTGTCCTCTGGGTATTATTCCTGCATTGTCTCGTAAATCCTTTGCAGGGAAAACGAGTCCAAGATTGGTGAAATAGCCCGCTTCAGGCATCTTGACTCCGACTGCCTGTGTAGTTTTCACCAATGTCCTCACCTTCCGTGTCGGTTCATCTCCTTCGTGATTGAAAATAATCTCTTCATCTATGCCAACCGTAATCTTTTGTATTGTAACCTTCCTCGCCTTGTTCAGCCAGTCCGGGTTTGGACTCAGCTTGATATATACTGAAACCGGATCGAGAGGACCATAACTCCAACGCGGCAAACTTATCCCAAGGGTGACCAGGTGATCTGTCACTCGTTCTGCGCTCTCTGGTCGATTATACATGCCAAACGTGGAGAGGGTATCGTATCGTTGTATTGGTACTGGGAATGGGTACTTCTTCTGTTCTTGCGGTCCTTGCTGAACCGTCACAACTAGTTCGTAGAATGTCTCGGCCGTGCGACTCGGTAACTGCAAGCTTGCAGGCGGGACTCTCCGTGCTACCTCTTCGCCACCACGTCCGTATGGTATGAAGATGACGAAGGGCAGGTCCATGCACAATACGCTTTCATACTCTTTCCCAGGCGAACATCGGTATAGGAGCATTTCCTTGCCTACAATATCGGTGATTTCCTTGCGCGGGGCGGCGAGATGCCTCCTTGCGGCCGAATCGGCGGAGGGGTGTATCGTCTCTCGACGGTGCAAGGCAATGGTAACAAGCGAGACATTGACGGGCGCTGAGATACCAACGAGTGGACGGATCTCGACTTTGCCTTCTATTCGGGGCTGAAAGGTGTCAGCATTAGCCAAGTAGTGTTGCGAAAGGGCTGCGCGCCGTGCAGCGGCTCCAGATGGGCAAATTGGAGCGCCAGATGTCCAATGACGAGGAGAATAGGCTGAGAGCACGTACAAGTGTAGCTGATATTCCAGGATAGCCGATCAGAAAGTTACTGTTTGGCGGTCCTGAGACGCGCACAAAGGCCGACATGTTTGAATCTCACAGCGCAAGCCTGGGACCGCAGCTGGCGCTGCATGAGCGTGACCGTGGCCTTTGAGCACCCAGGCCTCGCGTTGAATATGGTCGCTCGAGGGTTCAGTGAAGTGGGCGACCAGTTAGCTGTGCGGGAGGGTGTGCTGGAGCTACTGGTAGGCAGCCTTGAGGGCCGCGGGAGTGTGGGGTTAGGGCGATGTAAGGCGCACGCCTCGAATCTTGAACCAGCGGGGTCTCTCTGAATGGGCGGCAGGGGAGCCCGAGGCTGCGCAGCGGGCCGACTGGCGAGAAGGCGAGGAAGATACGAGATGGAGTGAGTGGGTGCGCGGGTAGGCTGGAGCCTGCAGTGGGTTACTATGTCCCAAGACTGGTAGGGCTCTGGCTGTGGTGAGCTGAGCTGGAGTTGGAGCTTGGAGAGCTGGCGCGCCTAATGATGGAGTGGAGCACCAGACCAGGGCATATACCAGGGGCACGAGGAGGCTAGGGCAATGGCGATGATAGCGAATGCAGGGCGATCGCAACAGTGTACGTAGTGATGGGGCTGACGCACCATGTTCTAGCCGCGGCGAGGTTGGAGAGCTTTACCATCTCCACCCTCGCCGCGGCTACTCCTGCGCATCTGCACGCGCAATCCTTCCCTCTGCCCAACACCACTACTACCACCGCCATGTCCGTCACCGTAAGTTCCTGCCAGTCCCCTCCCGATATTTTTGTCTGAGAAACAATCTCCTGACCGCGCCAAGCTACACACTACCAAAGGCGACATCAAGCTCGAAATCTTCTGCGAAACCGTCCCTAAAACCGCAGAGAACTTTCTCGCCCTTTGCGCGTCTGGCTTCTACAATGGATCGCCTTTCCATCGCATGATTCCCTCATTCATGGTTCAGACCGGCTCGCCCGCCTCCGATGCCAAGTCCAAGACTTCGACCTCCATTTTCGACACGCCGAACCAGCTCTTCGAAGACGAGATCAGGCCAGCGCTGAGACACAATGCCAGAGGAATCGTGAGCATGGCGAACAAGGGTCCCAACTCCAACGGCTCTCAGTTCTTCATCACTTTTGCGCCTGCCCCACACCTGGACGGGAAGAACACCGTGTTTGGCAAGGTTCTGGAGGGCTGGGAAGTCTTGGATGATATAGAGCAGGTGCAGGTGGACAAGAAGTCGCGCCCACAGGAAAGGATTGAGATCAAGAATGTCACCATACATGCCAACCCTCTGGCGGGTTGAACAATAAGCCAAGCAACGGAAACATCACACATGATAACATTACTCATTACGAGTATCACACAAGCACAACCACCGGCCATCAAACTAAGGATATGGAAACTTTTTTGTATTCATCGGGGCTGGCGAGGCCCTGGTATCTTCAGAAGCGCCGACCCATTGCAACAAGAGTCAAGGAAATCTACAGCACGTGGAATTTATCGAACCCTTATGCGCCATTGGTAGTCTCGCCATTGGTGGTCGCACCGTTCGTCGCAGCATGCTCTTCGTAACCCTCTGTCTTCATGTCCCTGAGACCCAGATCCTCCTCCTCTTCTTCTGTCCGCTCGTAGTCCTCAACCTTGATTTGCGGATCTGGCTCTGGTGCGGTGAAGCTCTGGACATAACTGCTGGCAAGAGGGTCCTTAAGGATAATGGTGAACTTGTCGTCGCCGTTGATGGCTGCTGAGAGACTGTTGAAGAAGGTGTTCCACTTCTGTTTTGTCTCCGCGTTCATGGAATCGCCACCATCTCCAGCATCGAAAATCGAAGACCTCAAGTCGTCGCGTACTTGGGTAAGGAGACCTTCGATAGTTGTAAATCGGCCACCAAGCGTACCGGGCTCAACACTGAGGTTGAGTTCAGGGCAAGACATGGCGCACGACTCAGCCTTGAGGATATCTCGCGACAGATCCTCTTTGTTGTTGACTGCTACAGTGATAAGACGGCCCTTCTCAGGAACTTCACCACCAGTCTTGACCTCATTGCTGCGGTCTACTACGCATTAGCGAGTGATCATGTCGGATTTCTTAGGGTTCAACTTACATCCGCAATGGTCACACACGGTGCTCATCAAGACTACTTGCTTGAAGTGGGGAATATTGACCATCTTCATGTTGGTAGTGCACGGCTTGGTGCATCCGGGACAACTGGCAGGGAACGAGTAAACTTGGTTCTCCAGAATATCATCATCGTCTACGTTGTTCACCATGGGCTTATGAGCCGAAGGCATCTCAGGGTACATTTGTGAAGCGTGGTACTCTGGTCGGATCTCCGTGGCAGGCGCCTCACCGCTGGCATCGCCAAGGCCCAGCGCTTCGTTCTGTGCTGCAGTTCGCGCATACTCATTTCGAGAATATTTGCCCGCGGCGAGTACACTTGGAGGCTCAATGGACGAGTTACCAGCAGGGTCGTCAACCGTCACCTTGAAGGGCAACTTCTCTCCACTGGCCATTTGCTTGATCGTGTTGATTACGCCCTGTAGCTGCTCGTAGATCTCCGGTACTACTTCCTTTCTCTCATCCTGCTTTTGCTCCAAGTCTTGTGCAACCATGGTGAGAATGCCTTCGACGTTGGTCAGCTGTCCTCTTCCTGGAGGAATCTCTAGATCGATATCCTCGACTCGAAAGATTGCTGTGTCGCTCTTGATAACCTGTCGGTTGAGGTCGTCGGCGCTATCGACCTTCAGAGAGAAGCGCACTCCTTTCTGTTGTATCTCGCCAGCGGGCTGGACCTCGGAGTTTTTGAAATGGCAGTGCGGGCATGAGAACGACATGAGAACGATCTCGCGGAAGAAGGGTATCCTGGTGAGGAGCAACCGAGTAGTTCCCTTGAAGAGTGTTAGCTGATGATATGGAAATCTCGCTGCTACACCTACATTTTCGTGGCAGTTCATGCACAAACTTTCAATCTCATCGACAACTTTGCTGCCGTCCTCGCTGTCTGGCTGGGCGCTGGCCTCCTCGACCTTGCGGCCCATATCCTCGAAGAGGTCCTTTGCAAGGCTCTTGTGTTGTGCCATGTTGAAATCGGGTATTTGATTAATTTTTTTTTTTCGCTGGATAAGGTGAAAGAGATTGAAAGCTGATTTATGTGAGGTGACTCTGCAAGTCCCGATGACGAAGGTGCTGGAATTTTTTTGAATCGCCCCGCGTCACATAGCGGGGGTTCGCTAAGCCGCGGCGCATCCTAGCAAGGTGCCGTTACTCAGCCCTACGGAGTTCACATGGCAAAATCCATAAGGTCGAGGCCGCCACTGGCCGAGTGTTGCGACTTCTTTTTGTCGAGCATTGCTTGCAAACCGCCTTTGCGTGCCTTTTGTCTTTGCTTGCTGCTGGCATTCAGTGTCTTGGGCGCGTTGTCGACTTCCTTTGCCGGGTTCTTCGATGTTGGAATGGGCCCTGCATCTAATACAGGTGCTGATTTCTGATTCTTTCTGCGTGCTTTGTGCCGAAGTGCTTGGACTGTCTCCCGATGGCACATCAAGCAAGTATAGCGGGTGCTTTTCTCGAGCTGTGATGGCTTCTTGGATCCCTTGTTGTCTTTCCTTGTAGGGCCTTCACCGGGAAGGTGGGTTGAGACTTTGCATGACCATCCCGGAATCATGATGTTTCCACAAGCATTGCAAATGCTGCGTCGATAGGCATCGGCTTCTTTACTTGGAATTTCGATCTCAGCATCTTCAATAAACTTGTGGTGTGCCCTCCCAATGAATGCTGCTGCCTTTGGAGAAGAGACGGCGAGGAGGTTAGCAGCCTCTTGGAGGAATCTTGCCCGCGCTTCGAGTTCATCGTTTGGTGCCATTGTTGGAGCACCTGTGTGATCTCGGTGCAGAGCTTGGAGAGCTTCCTGCAGGTCCGATATCAGCACGTGCCTGCTTCTTATCATAACACCGATCTCCGACGCTAGCAGCTGCAGGTCCCCTCTCGCTTGACAACTTTCTGGATTCGAGTGTTTGTTGTGAGCCTACACCGTGACTGTTTGCGCCCATGTAGCACACAAACAATTTATTAGTAGCATTTCGGTTGCAGGCTCACTGAAATCCGCTGCTTCGAGACGCTAAGCATGGCGGCGCCTGAATTGATCGAACAGCATGGGCTGCGGATAGCAGTCGAGGGTTGCGGTCACGGAGTACTGCATGAGATCTATGCATCAGTCGCGAAATCATGCGAGATCAAGGGTTGGCCTGATGTGGATCTTTTGATCATTGGTGGAGACTTTCAGGTATGTGTATTGATCACAGTGCTCTTACAGTAACCGACTTTTTTAGGCTGTTCGAAATGCCTCAGACCTCAAGGCAGTATCAATGCCTTCGAAATACTACGCCATGCACGACTTCCACGAGTACTATTCAGGTGCACGCTTGGCGCCATATCTCACCATATTCATTGGCGGTAATCACGAAGCGAGCAATTACATGTGGGAACTTTATTATGGCGGGTGGGCTGCACCGAAGATATACTACATGGGCGCAGCAAATGTGATACGCCTGGGTCCGCTGCGTATCGCTGGTCTGTCTGGCATCTGGAAAGGTTACAACTTCAAGAAGCCGCATTACGAACGCCTGCCTTATAACAACGACGACGTGAAGAGTATCTATCATGTTCGGGAGCTTGAAGTGCGCAAGCTTGTCCAAATACGAACGCAAGTTGACATCGGACTGAGCCACGACTGGCCACGGGGCATGGAATGGAAGGGCAACTTTCGACAGCTTTTCAAATGGAAGCCTGACTTTGAGAAAGAGGCAAAAGATGGTACCTTGGGAAGTGTCGCTGCCAAGACGGTTTTGGAACGCTTACGGCCACCTCACTGGTTTAGTGCTCACATGCATGCCAAGTTTCCTGCTGTATGGGAGCACGTGGACATTTCGAACCGTACAGAGCAAAGTAAGCATACGGAGGGTTCGCCTGCAGCAGTGATGAACGCAAGCGAGATCAATCTCGATATGGCAGACGACGCGGATGTGTCAGCACCAAAGAATGAGGCCGAAATTGACCTTGACATGGATGAAGACGAAGCACCCGCCGCACCCGCCGTGGAGAACAAGGAAAAAGGCAAGCCTACGACGAGGGAAAGTGAGTCGGAGATATCGCAGGATATTCGAAGCCTCTTGCCAGAATCTTTTGCCCGTCCGGAAGTGGAGCCTGCACCGACGTTGCCCTTCCCCGAAGAGATCACCAACAAGAGGACGAAATTTCTTGCACTGGACAAGTGTTTGCCTAAACGAAACTTTTTACAGTTGCTGGAGATTGAGCCACACGAGGGTGCGGAGGTACTACAACGTCCGCTGGGACTGCAATACGACAAGGAATGGCTGGCCATCACGCGCGTGTTTGCTGATCATGTGCAGGTTGGAGACCCACATTTCCAAGTACCTCGAGACAAAGGAGAAGCTTTCTACCGACCGCTTGTAGAGAAGGAAATGGAGTGGGTCGAGGAGAACATAGTCAAGGCCAACAAGATGATGGTGCCGGAAGACTTTGCGCAAACGGCGCCTACATATGATGCAGCATTGGGCATTCATGTGCAAGAGCAGCCGAGTGAGTACAGCAACCCGCACACGCAAAGATTTTGCGATCTAGTGCAGATAGCAAACGTGTTTCATGCGTCGGATGAGGAGCGGGCACAGTTAGCATCATGCGGGCCAAGGCCGGAACAGCAGCGGGCGAACCGAGGGGGAGGTAGAGGTGGGGGCAGAGGCAGCTGGGGAAAGAGAGGCGGTGGGCGCGGCGGAGGGCACGGAGGGCGTGGACGTGGCGGAAGAGGCGGACGTGGACGGGGAGGGTGGTGATGAAGGGCCAAATGGCCAGCAAAGGAGCGGGTAATGCGTCGCCATGTGATGGGAGATTGGGCTGCTCTGCGTCGCAGAACGAGTCGAGGGCTGAGCTGGCAACGCATAGGAGGTTGGTGTTTGTGCCAGGCCCTGTATGGCTTTGTGGAGACTTGTAATCTCGTGGTCAGTGTGAGCAGCGCAGGCAGATGCAGTCCCCGCATTAGCGATGTTAGCGAGCAGAGTCGCAGGCAGGCACAGGGGAGCACATGCCCATGATGATGGTGTACGTTGATAGTTGTATTGAACGCCCCAGAGACTAGCTGGCAGCAGAGTGCATTCACGGACGGATGGGGCTAGCGTAGGGCCGTGGGCGTGGTGAGAGGCAAACATTGGTCCTATGGGAGGCAGTCGACGTGACTGACGGCGCAAGAGCGTGGAGACTAACGGTTGTTACAGAGTCAGAGGTGCATCAGGGTCTCAGCACACGGCACCACGGCTTGACGGCAGTCGCTGCACGATGATGTCGACGACGGTGACGGTTTGCAGCCGTCGGCGGGCAAGACGAGCCGAAGCTGTTGCGCGTCCCAGGCCGGTTCGGGACGAGGACAATTATTAACCAGACCAAGACGGTGGCGGTGATATTGGGTTGCGCCCTCGTCCTACGTCACAGGCCGGGGAAGACGCAGACGGAGACACGACATGTGCATGCAGAATGCCGTCTGCAGACGAGCATGTCAACACCACCAACCCGCGCCTCGATCGGAATGCACGCTTTGGCCCCGGGCTTGTTCCGCACGCTGCCTGGAGATCGTGTTGATCTGCACACACACACACACACACACACTTGGCCAGAGGGCAATTTTGCTGCTGCTCGCTTGTTCGGACGCGACATTGCAGACTGCACCACGCTGCTCGACACCTCCTGCCCACACCGCACAGCGAGGACAGCGCGACGCGGTGTGGCAAAAGGATTGCGCGTGCCGGTCAAGAGCCTCGAGGGCCTATCGCTGCCGGGCGCAGACGGCCAGGCAAGCGGAGGCAACGACAACAAGGCCAAGTCGTGTGTGGCCCATGGCGCATCCAGAGGGCTTGGGCAGCCCTCAGCAAGGCCGTGTGTCGGGGCGAGGCTGCTATTTTCAGCGCGTTCGTCGCCGGCGACAATCAGTGACACACAGCTTGCCTGCACGCGTCCAGAACACGCCGGCACGTCATTCCCAGTCGTTAGCCCCGCCGTTATTATGCATCGAGACCATCGCGATCGGCAAGACCCTGAATCCCCGACCCCTGCCGTTGCACACACGCACGCACACATACGCACGCTCTACAGCGCCTGTCCACCTGCTGCTCGTCTTATTTCGCCCGCGCCCTGGATGCCCTTAAAACCCTTTCGCTGCCCTTGCATATCCTGCCTTTGTCCCTGCTCCCTTCACCCATTCGCTCGTCATCTCCCTCCGCTGCCACCCCTCATTTCCGTCCCTCGTTCCTACCTACCGTCTTGGTCAGTCAATCCCGGACAACGCCACCCTGCATTCTGGAACCTCCTCCGCCCTCGTTCCCTAGCGGTAAACGTGTGGACCCTTTCCCCTTGGATGGTGCATCATATTATCAATCCAAGTCTATACCATCCAAGTAGACCTATATAGATCCACACGCCTCCCCCCACACGCACACTACCCCTCTTCACAACTACCCACACATACCACTACATTCAACCACAACCTCGCACAACTACTGCTTGCTACAATGGCATCCCGCTTCGTCGAGAACCTCGAAGAGGTCCCCATCAGCCACCCACATCTCAACGTCTCCCTTGACGACATCCTCGCAGAGGAACGCCGCAAGAGGTCTTCATCCCAATCATCAGCGAGTTCAGAACCTCGCCGCTCAGGAAGCACCTCTGCCGCCATGATGCCAGCCTCGCCCACCACCGAAAGCAAAATCAAACGCGCCTTCACCATCGGCGGCAAAAAAGGTCGTCGCTCAACATGAGCGACCACAGCCTAATGCGTTCCCCTTTGCATCAACGCCCTACCATTACCCTACACACATCCCATCCTGCAACAATGGTTATACCACCATGCCGATTCTGTATGCGCATCCATATGCTCTCGACCAAGTGTTGGAAGAGAACTACCACAGTCGCACACCTGACGTGCCATGGTCCCGTCATTTCTCCTCCCCCCTGTTGGCTCTAGCCAGCAAAAAAGTCCGGGAAACGTCATCAATCCCGCCCACTCCCGCTCTAGTCGGCTGCCTTGCCCCACCTGTACTACACCTTGCAACCCCGCTCCAGTTTAGGTGACTTTCCTTATCTAAAAAAAAAAAAGAGAGAGAGAGAAAAGCCTGGCAATTACTCGGCTATGCATCGTGTTCCGATTAGGAAAGTAAAAAGAGGATGGTAGCCGAGGAAGGGGTCATGAGGGATATTCTCTCATCTGGATAGATGATGACGAGGCAAAAAAAGTTCACGATTCTGCACTATACGTACATGATTAGAAACATGTATTAAATAGTACTTGTTTTATTCTTACTCCAATGGTCAACCCGACTCATCCTTTGCTTTCGCCTCGCTGTCATGTGTGTGTGTGTGTGTGTGTGTGTGTTAATGTGTCCCTACTACAGGCACCGACATCACCGACAATGTAGAGTTCCATCGTCCCAGGCAACACCCACGCACGCAGCAACACGTCCTCCCTTTTACTATCTTGCTAACACCACAAAGCGTCATGGCCATGGCCCAAGTCACACTAATCATCTTCCCCGTTCCACCTACTCCACTCATACGTTGATTCTATCTCACCGACCATCTACTACCCTTCTAGTGATGGTCACGTATATATATATTGTTTTTTTCTCGGCTTGCCCTTGGATACTGACTCGTAGCTGCCATGGGCAAAAAAACACTTGATGCCTCGCTAGATAATTCGCATATACAGCCTGTGCGGGATAAGGCATGAATAAGTGCATACTCATTAACTCGAAGAGATGTCCATCTGCTGGAGTGAAATAGGTGTAGACTGGAGTGGGGGTGCTGTATGTGAGAATCTGCTCGTTTGAAGAGGGAGGTGAAAAGGTAGTCTGGTGGTTTAAAAAAAACTTAGGGTCTAAGATCACTGGTTGAGTGCGAACCTAGAGGCTGGTTGAAAGACCGAGAGGTGCAGACGACAAAAGAGGTGGGAAATCAATGCAACCGACTTGATTGATCGGGAACTAGTCTGCACAAATGTCTTCTCAACACTGGATCCGACTACGTCTAGCCGGAAACCAACATTAGCGTCCCAGTGCGGCCCTCACGCCGTCACGACAGAACGGCAGTCATGCAGCTCGACCAAACATGGCTCGAAAAGTCACAAAAGAGTCACTGCTGGCTTGTCCCATGCATATATGGTCGTGTATAGCAACCCGCCCTCGCCAACAAGCGCCTCCTAGTCTGTGGTATCTCATATCAAATCGTCATGCCCATATCGTCCGTCTCTCGCTCCTCAGGTCGAGTCCAGCACTTATTTCTTGCCAGACTTTTTGATGCCCTGCGATCCCGTGTTGAGCGGGCCCTTGCCCTTTCCGACCGTCTTGGCAAGTTCCTCGCGTGCCTTCTTGTCTGTGTATCTTGTCAGTCTACTTGTTCATGGGCTTGCTCGTGTGCTTGTGGTAGCGCTTCAGAAGGCGAAAGCCCAGGCCCAAGGGGATAGGCAGTGGGTAACGTACCGGCAGCGAGCTTGTTCTTGTATGCGATGTCGTCCTCGTCGAGCTCGGCAGCCTTCTTCTTGGGCTTCTTGTTGTGAATAGGGTTGGTACCCGCTGAGTTATCCAGTCAGCCTTTTGCGCTATATAACGCCGTTTGCTTGACCCCGCATCATTTGTGTGCACAGGCTCTGGTGTTTACGTACCTCCTTGTCCTGAAGGCATCTTGAGTATAGGATGTGTTACGAGGTAGGTTTTTGGGCGAAACGTTGGAGTAGAAAGTATTCGCTGGAGTGGAAAACAGGGTTGGTTGCGGGCGGTGAGAAAGGGTCTCGGTCTCGAAGCCTAGAAAAAGTGGGATGGTCTGCACCGCCACCATTTCGTAGCTCATAGTCACGTGACTTTACCATCTACCTGGGAATCTATCTTAGCGCTGGCCGACTTGTTGGCTGTAAGTATATATCTGGGCTAGACTACAACATGTTGCACAATGTGTGCGTTTGGCCAGCCACTCAATCCTATCGGTGTAACTGTGCTCGTGGTACTTTGATCTCTCCGAGGACCTTATACGCGACATGTGTATTGGCACTGGCTGGTTTCAGCATAGGTCAACGCGCTCCATCACGCCAGTCCACACGGCTCCACCGCTGGCTATCAAGTCATACCCTCTGGCATGAATCATGGGACTTTGACAACTCAGCCCTATTGTCACGTTTATGATCCCGTTGAGCGGCTTTGCAACAACCGAGATGACAACCTTTAAGGGGGCACTAAACTCGAACGCCGACAAGCACCATGCTGGTGATCCCGAAGCGCGGTCGACGTGAAAACAAGACAGCCCAGCCTGCACCCAAAAGCTTCCTGCAGCCGCAATTTCCTTGAGTCTAGGCTTGGCCTGCTTGCGGTGAAGCAATTACTACTCATTTGCGACTAAACAGCCGACAATCTTGACCACTCCGAGGTTAGAGCAAGCACTGATCGCTCCTGTCGGCTCTATCCCGCGCTGTAACACCCGAAAACAACGGCGCTTCAACGCTTTGTCACATGGTGCCTATTCGTGGAAAATCAACTGCGACAACACCCCGATCCACCAAAGTGGATCGAGTCTCCTTGTTACAAGCAAACTATTGAGCCTCGAGGTTCCCCCAGATTCACCAAGTCACGGCACGATGGAGTTGAAGGAGCTGAGCGTATGCGCTTTTTGGCACTAGAGCAAATCTTCGAAGCTTTCTATGCGAGATGATTCGTGGCGATACGGGGTTTCCCGAGTAGCGGCAGACTACGAAGATTAGGTATGTTGGTAGCAGCGTTCCGAGCCCATGGGGTTTTATGGGCCTTGCTATATTCAATCATAGCTATTCCTATATGGGCAGATGGGAACGTGCCATGTATGTATATATGGCCAACTTAGTCTCCCTTGTTTGCTCTCCAGTCCTGAGCTCCACGGATCAACCGCTGTATACTCTGCGGAATTCCAGCCGGACACACCCTTCTTGATTGCTTTGTTTGTGTCGGTCTTTTGAAAGGGAGATCTAAAGAGCCAGCGTCAAGATGGTTTCCACAACGAGAGCGTACAACTGGTACATCTCACTCGTTGCTGCATCATGCATGGTTCTCTACGGTTACGATGCGTCTGTGTTCAACGCACTCCAGAATTCTGATAATTGGAAGGCTTATTTCAATAAGCCGGGACCTAATATCATTGGGGCCATCAATACCGCCTATACAGTCGGAGCTGTTGTAGCAGGATTCTTCATGGTGAGATATTATTCAGAGGGGAATAACATCAAGCATACTAACGTCTCATATAGGGCGGTCCCCTTGCCGATTTTGCCGGTCGGAGAGCGGGTATGGCTGCTGGAGCGATATGTGTGATTGTCGCAACGTTGATGCAAACATTCGCGCCCCGTGGTCAAATTGGTGTCTTCATTGTCGGTCGTGTTCTCATCGGTATCGGGCAAGGTCTTGCGCTCACAGCTGGATCCATCTTTATTTCCGAAGTGTGTCCGTCTGAGATTCGAGGCAAGATCATGTCTTTCTGGCAAATGTTCTACTCGGTTGGCTCTTTTATCGCCTACTGGATCAGCTTCGGCACGTCCAAGAACCCGAAGAAGCTTGGTGAGTGGGACTGGAAGATTGTTGTCATCTTCCAGATGCTCGTTCCCATCATCATTCTGTCGCAAGTCTTCTTCATCCCAGAGTCGCCTCGCTGGTATGTGCAGAAGAGCCGCGAATATGAGAAAGCTCGTCAATCGCTCCGTCGCATCCGCGACACCGAAGAGGAGGTCGAAGACGAAATCAGGACTATCCGAGAGGCCATTGAATTCGAAGCCGAAGCAATCTCCTCCGGATATTCTGCTCTCTGGAAAGACAAGTCAATCAGGAAACGCATGTACATTGCCATGATTGTAAACGGCGGCCAGCAAATCACCGGTCAAGGCACCCTCAACACCTACAGCTCAATCATCTACAGACAGGTGTTTACAAGCGCAGACACAATCTCGCTCATTAATGCGCTTAATGCCACTTTCAGCATCCTCTTCACTCTCAACGCAACATGGACCGTTGACCGCTTCGGCCGCAAGTTCCTCTTCATCGTCGGTGGCATCGGCATGGGCCTTTGCATGTTAATCGCCGCGACCGTCGAAACGCAAACACCGTCGCTCCCCAACGGCGCAAAGACGCAACCCGTCGCCATATCCATCGTCTTCATCATGTTCCTGTTCGCCTTTTTCTGTAAGTCACTCTCTCCTTTACCCACCTTCCTCCTCAAACCCCCAGCTCCCACTAACAACATACAACAGACAAACCCTCCTGGGGCGCAACCGTCTGGATCTTCACGGCAGAAATCTTCTCCATGAACGTACGCGCGCAAGCCGTAGGCATGTGCTCGCAAACTCAAAACGTCGTCAACTCCATTGTCCAGCAGTTCTTCCCTATTTTCCTCAAAAATGAGGGGTTTTATGCTTTTTACATGTTTGCGGCCATTAACATCCTGCTTGCGGTTTTTACGTGGTTTTTTGTTCCAGAGACGAAGCAGGTCAGTCTGGAGGAGATGGATGCTCTGTTTGGCGGAAAGAACCATGTGACAGAGGGTGCGGCAATTGAGAAGGGGGAGGAAAGGGGGCAGAGTGTGGGTGGTGAGAGTGTAGGAGAGAAGGGGGCGACAGATAAGGTTGAGAGCGTTTGATATTGGCGATATGGGATTTGTGGAGGGACACTCTGGCGCGAGAGTGTAGCGAGTAGGTCGTGTTGCATTACGACCTTTTTTGCATCTAAACCATGGTTCTGGCTGTCATGACACTTACTTTTCAATGTGTTTTATGAAACTAATCTACTGTATATATCAAAGTGCATCTAAAGTTGACTATCTAAAGGAACAACTGTAAAACATGGCATTCATCTTCTGCTGTTTCCCTACCCTCAGGCTCAAAGCATACCAACCACCAGTCCAAATGCCCACCACCGCCATTATCAAACCCACCACTATTATCAAACCCACCACCATCATCGAACCCACCACCACAATTATCAACGCCACATGTCAAACCCCTCCCTCATCTCCACAAAAACCAGCCTCTCTCCTCAGCCACCACTCCTCAGCCATATCCCTAGCCTCCTCCCTACCCCCCTACATCAGCGACACCGCAGCCCACAACACGCCTTCCTGGGACCCTCCACCCTCCAAGCCCATCCGCATCCTCAAACCGCGGCCCCCTCGCACCATCTACTCGTGCTTCAACACCATCTACTCGCCCCGGGACGTCCGGCCTTGCCTGTATCACACACTCAAGCCACGGGCGCACCATAGAAAGGACAGCGTGAAGGATTACTGTCAGTCGGGGACACGGGGGTGGGAGGTGTTTTGGCGGAAACGGCTGGAAGATGGTGAGGCGGAGGTGGGACGGGTGGATTGGATGTGGGTGGGGGAGAGGGGGGGAGAGGAGGAGGAGGAAGAGGAAGAGGAAGAGGAAGAGGAAGAAGAAGAAGAAGAAGAAGAAGAAGAAGAGGAAAAGGAGCTGATGACAGATAGTGCTTGTGCTGAGATGGAGACGGAACAGTACGGAGATACAGAGGGTTCTGAGGTATCTTGTGAGAGATCGAGCTGAGGGATGAGATAGATTGGATATGGAGGGTTGTGTATACTTTTTCTTCTGTCCTTCTGCTGACCATGTGACGAATACACGATTGGTTGGATGTTTTGTAGATATGTTTTCCACTTGTCATTGCTAGCGACTGAAGAGAATTCGGCTACCTTTTCGTGAAGTGATTCATGATTCAAGCCCCACATGGCGGGACAGGAGGATATTGGCATGTTGAGTTTTCCTTGGTAGTATAGGCCAGAATACAAGTATTGTTTCTGTCAAGTTTGGTAGTTGGGTGTTTTGACAGCTCCCTTTTTTGGTTGTGTTGTACCATCTTATTCAAGACTGACTAGAACCGATGAAAGTATGCTACTAAGTTACCAGACTGAAGAGGCTGGCCGGAACATGACACGAACAACGACAAAATGAAGAAAGCATAAATGTTTACTACAGATATGGGTGTGTGTGGGTGTGATAGACTGATCTAGTCATGCACTGCTTGGTTTTGGACCAGGAGAGAGGCATTTACAGCCCATCCCTGACTCAAGAGCCCACATCCATGGATCCGGATACCCCGGACCCATCTCCATAGGGTAGAAAAGCCCACATCCATGTGGATAGCCGCGACCCGCCTTCACAAGGCAGAATACATGCACGTCAGATGGATCTGCATTAGTCCAAGGCTCGCACGCTGTCTGATCACTTGGGTTCTATTATGTTCTTGTTTCGTGCTACATATCAAGTCGTTGTCTGATTTACTGTTTCCTCAACTTATCCAAGGCTGCCATGACGCCCTCGCTCATATTATCATCAGGTTGTTTCCTCTTCGCTGGCGTTGCCACTGCTGGTTGGGCCTGGTTGGCCTCCGACACATGACCCGTCTCCAGCTCACGCATTGCCTGCTCGTCGTCTTCATTTATATCTTCGGCAAGACGGTGATCAGGCCGCTTGTCGGCATCCGATGCAGACGTTGCAAAGGGAGCAGATCTCTCTAGCTCCCTCGCAAGAGGTACGGCATCATCGACCCTTTGACGTGCTGTGTCACCAGCAACTGCCGCCCTGTGTGCCTGGTCCTCACCTTCTGTCCCGGTTGGTGGGTCGTTGGCTTGCTGGACAAGGCCGCCCCGCCTTGCAGCCTTTTGTACCCTAAACGGTTCTCGAACGGCGTTGCACCATCGTTGGACTTTCTTGTCGCCCCAACCTGCAATCAAGGCGATTTCCTCTGGGGCAGCGTTGATTGCAGTGCGGATGCTTCCAAAGTTGGAGACTAGGCCTACAGCGTCTGTTTTGTTGATGCTACGGGGCACAGTGATGAAGTCGACCATGTTCTCAGCGTAGGAGCCTGCCTGCTGAGCGCGGATACTGGTCGGGGCTGCATTCTCAAACGTCTTGAAAAGCTCGAGATAGCGGCCGGCCTCTTGGGCGCTCCAGCACAGCATGACGGTGACGTTGTTGACCAGCGACGTCTTTGACAGCTCTCGCAGGGGGTCTTCATGGTTTTCAATGTCGACCATGGTCAGCAGGATGCGCAGCGTGTACTGGCCCTTGAGGTCGCGGATGCGGTTGTAGATGTACTCGGGGTGCAGGCGGTGGTACTTTAGCGACAGGAACAGGGCACATGTGGTGGCGCCGACGACATAGTCGGGGGCGATGTCTGAATACTCCCAGGCAACGGCGCGCACATTGTTCAGGATGGGATTGCCCTTTTGGCGGGGCGAGACCAAGATGGAGCTGGGCGCAGATCGTGAGGGCAGCGCCTGGGGCTTCGGCTGCTGGATCTTGGGCAGGTTGCTCGGCGCGGGCGGATTGGCAGCCCCGGGGCGGGAGGTTTGCGCAGCAGCATGTGCATTTGCTGGGGGGGCCGGGCCAGAGCCGTGAGCACGCGGCCGATTGTCGTGCATGTTGGCCAGGCCAGGACAGGACGAAAGGCAGCACACAAGCAGCAGCAACAGCAGCAGCAGCAGCAGCAACAGCGCAGCTACGGCGGCGACATGGAGTTGAGCGGCTGTGCCTGGATCCAAGTGTTTCGCAAACGGGCGATGGGAGGGTGACACACCCTAGCACCGGGACGCGGTTTTGGATCGCGGCCGCGTGAACCGGGCGTGGGCGGTCACGTGCGGGCTCGCAGCGCAGCGCTCAGCCCAAACCGCCGGTGCACTCCATCGTCTCCTTCGCATCTTCACATCTCCCGCCGACCAACGACCCTCCTTGACCCACCGCCACCACCACCGCCACCACCCCCAACCCCATCACGCCCTGCACATCGCCGCCATCTCTCGCCCATCGCTGCCGCCCCCGCCCTCGCATGCGCTTTACTGAGTAGAGCGCCCTCCCTTGCTGCCGCGGTCGACCCGCGCAGAGGCCGCCAAGCGCTTTCCACCAGCCCGACCTCCCGCCTTCACTCTCGCTCTCCTTCACCCGCGCACCCTCTCCGCCGCCCGCCTGCGCTGCCGAGCCCTCGTTCCTCTTCCGACCCTCGTGAAGCGGCCTCTATGTCGGATCACAGCGCCAAACGCCAACGCCTGGACTCGATCGGAAGATTCTCACCCGCCAGCCCGCCCTTTGACGTCGCTGCCAAGGCGAGCGGCCAGACGACAAAGACGCTCCCCCATCCGCGCACGCCCACTTCACCACCCTGCTCCTCGATGAATTCGCAATCCAATGGAGGCTTTTCCACGACAAACACCACGACGTCGTCGGACCGCTCCCCGCAATCCTCAGTCCCCATGGCCCACTCGCTCTCCCAGTCGGCCGCATCGGCATCCAGCCTGCACCCCTTTCCCACCCCGGCCAGCACTACCGGCTTCCTGTCCAGCGCCAATGTCGATAGCGACGGCGATGCGACGATGGAAGAGGGTGCAGACGATGACACTCTTCGCTCGCGCTGCCACAGGCTGTCCAACCACAACCGGCAAGCCCAGTCACCCTACACGCCTGACGGCCGACTCAAGGCCGCCCAAGGAATCAGCGGCCCCCAATTATTCAAACTCGACACAGACCGGATCGAAAAGTCGAGGCCGCACGCCTCGCAAAATCTGATTCGTCTGTACAGGCTCGAGCCGCTCGCCAGCTCCGTAGCCCGTAATGACCCGGTAACAGGCGAGAAGATTAACAAGCTTCGAAAGTCCTACGAGGGCCATATCAAGCAAATGCAGATTGCCGGCAAGCCAAAAGCAACAAAAATGGATGGCGTCTTTCGCGATCTGTTGATGCTACCAGAAGAGATTTGGTTGCCCAACCACGTTCAGAACCGAGAGGCCGACAAAACCGCCCTGACGCCAGACGGCACAGCTCTCACCCCGGATTTCAGCCAACTGCTCGATGGCGCATTCGCAGGCATGGGTCCTGGACCTCTGCCCAACGCAGATGCTGCCAAGTACAAGGCATATCTGGGTACTGACGACACAGTCAAGCCAAAACCACAGGATGCACCACCACAGCGAACGACGCCATATACATCGTCTGCGCCAACACCCAATAATCACATTAATAGGGGTCTAGTCAGACCAGAACGATCAGGCTCGAAGCGTGCATATACCGATGCTGCATTCCAAGGTTACGGCGAAGGCTTTGGAGACGACTATGCAGACTCGACCGGAGGCGAAGACACACCAGGAGGGAGCCTGGCGAACAAGAGGCGGAAGCTGCAATTCGAGCGAACGTCGCATTCGGTAGAAGTAGGCGGTGCACGACGATAGTTACGTCGACATTTTCTTTCGCACTCATCAGTTTACACAGCATCGGGGGTTTCCGGCTCTCTCCATAATCGGCGTTTTACAGGAAAATTTTGGGTTCACGAAAGCAGCAGGGGTGCTATCGAGGGGTTGTGCACCACCAGGCGGGAGAAAACCGTCCATCATTCACATCATCACTATCACCAACACCGGTACCAGCACCCCTATACACCAACAATAACAACCAAACATCACAACAACAAAAACCCACCATTTCCTATTGGCATAATGCGCAGCGAAAAAAACGATCGATCGAACGAGGCGAAGCAAACGGTATGACGATCATGATATTCCTATACCTACTTTACATTTCATACACGGGAGGGGAGAACCAGATTGGGGCGCCAGGATGTCGACTTTGAGTCTAGTTTGGTCTTCCTTTTTGCTTGCTTTTTTTGTGTCTTTTTGTTTGCTACGCGTGCGCGTGCGTGTGAGAGTGTGTATGTATGGGAAAGCTTTTTGTTTTATCAGCGGGAAGGGGACAGGGGTGAGGGAAACAGCTTCATCATTTCCCCCCTCCTACCCCTTTTTTCCCTTCCTTTCCGCTCTCTGTTTTCCGCTTTCCTACCCACCTTAACCCCCCGGCAAATCACCTCTTTTGGGTTTCTTTCCTCCGATGCAGGACGAGCCAAAGGGGGAGTTGTTTTTCACACCGACAACCACCAAATAACCTACTTCGACATTGTGCATATTTTGGGAAAAGAAAAAAAGGGAAAGCAAAACAACCTTTTTTTTATACCCTCATGATACCCTTGGGAATGTCACAGCAAGCAAATTAAACAAGTACCTGTTTTTTTGTTCTAATGTACTTCCTATATCCTAGTTTTTAGAAAAATGATATCAAACTAAGTCAAAAAAATATTCTGCTTCTCTTGGGAAAATGTGAAAAAGAATGAGAAGAAGAAGGGGAAAGAGAGAAAAAAACAAGTCTCAACGTGTTTGGAAGTGGCTTGGTAGTGTTTGTAGGCATGGATGCTGTGAGTTTCAAATGACCAGTAAGACTGTTTTTTTGTTCTCTTTTCTTCTTGGAAAACAGTTCTTTCCTTGTTTTTTTTTTGCGGAGCGGAATGCGACGGGAATAAAGGGAAAAGGAAAGATGAAAGCGGTACAAGATTCAGGTACCCGTCGCACGTGTGTGCTACTGAAAGATGACTCGTTTTTAAAAAAAAAATAGTACATGTGATATTCACACCACGAGAGCGTTTTCTGGAAAAGATATTCACAAACACTGGGAAATGTAGATGCAATTCGAAATGTCCATTTTGTACAAAGAAAAGGTATTCCTACATTTCCGTTTCGGACCAAATATAACATTGTACAGCATAAAAATGCTACCTTACTCCTTCTTCTCCTCAGGCCCCTTCTCCTTCTCCTCCATATCCATTCTCCTCGCCTCAACCGTAAAGTAGAGACTCTTGCTCGCGCCCTCGAGAGCATTGGTAAGACTGCCTCCAATACCCTGCAGCATGTGAACGAGCTGTGCCCTGAGACCGTCAAGGCCGCCGCTGATACCGCCAACCCACTTGGCACCCTCGACATCAAACACTTTGCCCTCGACCCGTGCGCCCAGCAGCATTAGCTTCTGCAGTCCGGCCTGCACCGCGGGTTCGTAGTAGTCGGGGTTCGCCTTGCGGCTTGGGGCGGGGAAGTCGGGTTTGGAGGGGGAGAGGATGGAGAGGACAGCTTTGAGGTATTCGGGGGTTACAGCGGGGAAAGCAACGACGGCGATGGGGCCGGCGAGAAGAGGTTCCAGTTCTAGCTTTAGTTTGCGGTTGTTGGCTATTTCGTGGGCTCGTCTTGACAGGCCGTGTGTGAAGCGCTCGTCGTCGGCTTGATTGCTGGTCTGCGGTATCTGCGCACTGGTTGCTGTGCGAGGGTCGGTGGGATGCTGTGCGTGATCCAAAGTGGCCTCTTGTGGATGGAAGAACTCAACGACCCGCAATGCGCTTGCGAAGATGTTGGTTTGCACGACTTGCATCTTGATTTCGTCGGCTAGTGTTTCCTTGCCATTGGCTGCTCGCTGTGCATCTAGCTTTCTCAGCGCAATGGCGAGCTCTCGCCTTATGCTCATCCATTCCACAGCCTTAACATTGTTGTGTTGGAAAATTAGGATCAAAGGCGATGACTTGAGTAGCGATTGGTATTGTCGGTGCAATTGCGTCTTGCGAACCTCTGGCGGCTTGTGAGAGGGTGGCTGAGTGGGCGGGTACCGTAGCACTGGCGCTGTGGCTTTGTATGTCTGCTGAATTGGTGGAGCGGGGGTAGTTGCTGAGGCTGCGGCAACCGAGGCGTAGGTTGCGATTGCGGGAAGAGAGATGATGTGGTTGGGGCGCGAGGTGCAGGCGCAGAGGGCCCGTGGCCGTATACGTATCCTTGGAGGCATTCTGACACTGTTAGTGTTTATAGGAGGAGATATTGTCTCTATAGCCGAGGTACGGTACTTACATGGGCTGTGGTCGTGTCGCAATGGACGTCGAGTTGTTTGTCCAAATATTTCCATGCCTTCAGGTTCGGAAGTGGTCCGTGCTTGGCATCTCACAACAGCGGCTTTTAGCAATTGCAGGCCATCTTTGAAGTACATTCAAGCTTACTGTACTTCTAGTCTCTAAATCAGTCACTAGGCATTTTCAATTTTTGCTAAACCTTCGCTTATGCCACTTCCTCAGCCGTGCGGGCATGGCGACTCAAATGTGGAAAACTCTACGGCAGCAGCGAATATCGAGAACACTAATTCAGAGTTGCCGAAACACTAGATACATAACTGTAGGGTATTTCGCGTATCACAGATTTCATACATGTTCAAACTCACCATTACCCCAGACTGATTCAAGAAATCGACTATCTAAATTCTGGGCACCCACTGGCGGAATCTCACCACAAGATGGGGAGCAAGGCAAGCAAGCCCCGTATTTTATTTGAAATACCCATTGACGAAATCATAAGACGAGTCGCATGCTTTGCTTGTACGCAGCGGCTTTCTGCGCCAGGTACATCTCACCGTCCCACNCATCACCAGACCCCAACTCATCACGTGCAGGCACATTCAGGAGTCTTCCATCTTCTGCCACTAGGCCTACGTGTGCAAAACAAACTTGAGGCACTTATAGACAAGTATATGGGCTCTATAGGCGCTTCGAAACTTTCACTCTCTACTATTACCACTGAGACATTATGGCGGCAATCCGGTCGGTATTCCGCAAACTCGGAACTCCTTCGCATCAAAGACAGGAAAGAATCCGGGTTTCTACTTTCTCCAACTCATGAAGAAGAAGTCACAGCACTTGTTGCCAGTATGGTACATTCGTACAAGGATCTGCCCTTGAGACTGTATCAGATAGGCCGCAAGTATCGTGACGAACGACGGCCGAGACAAGGATTACTTCGAGCAAAAGAGTTCATGATGAAGGATTTGTACACCTTCGACCACTCGCAGGAAGCTGCTCTGAACACTTACGAATCCGTTCGGGAAGCATACAACAACCTTTTCAAGGAGCTCAAGCTTCCTTACCTGGTCGCCGATGCCGACTCTGGAAACATGGGCGGCAAACTTAGTCATGAGTATCACTTTGTATCACCAAAAGGCGAGGACAATGTATGGTCATGTAACTCATGCGACTATGTGGCAAATGAAGAACTTGTAGAGAAGAAGACTGATAACACGCCAAAAACTACAGATGCGGTCACATTCACAGGCATAAGCATAGATAAGAAGACGGCAATCAACATCCATATCCCACGGCCTTCTGACGTAGGAGCGAGCGACACAGTATCCTGGGACACGGCTCACGCATTCCTCAATCTCCACGCCGTCAAAAAAGCATTACCCGCAGAACTAGACATGGACACAGGAATCGAATACTCAACCCTCTCGACCCTCCTTCCTAAAGCAACCAACACCATCGACCTATACGACCGCTCTCTACCCTCCAGCACCTCATACATCGATCTCACCATCACCAAACCCGGCGCCTCATGCCCGCGCTGCACCCAAGGCCAACTCGAAGTCCAAAAAGCCATAGAAATAGGCCACACCTTCCACCTCGGCACGCGTTACAGCACCCCGTTGAATGCCGTCGTTGCGCTCCCCGACCAAAACCTCTCCTCCCCCATCCAAATGGGCTGCCACGGCATCGGCGTGTCCCGTATAATCGGCGCTGTGGCATCGCTCCTGTCCGACGCCAAGGGATTGAACTGGCCCCGCGCCATAGCTCCCTACGAAGTCATTGTACTGAGCTCCCCGGCAGCAGAGGAAAAGGACGTTCACAACGTTTACGACATGTTGTCTGGAAGAGGTGGAGAGGGGGCAGTAGATGTGGTGCTAGATGATCGTGCGGGAAAAAATCTCGGGTGGAAAATGAAGGATGCAGATTTGATTGGGTATCCGGTTGTTGTAGTGCTGGGGAAGCGCTGGAAGGAGAGTGGGGAGGTGGAGGTGCAGTGTAGGAGGTTGGGGGTTGTGAGGAATGTTGGGGTGGAGGGGCTTAGGGGTGAAGTACTCGGGTTGTTGGAGCAACTGTAAGAATGCTTGTTGTGTAGATTTACAGTTTGTATGCGTACACGTGTTTTTGATACTTTTTTCAAAGAGGTGTTTGAGATAAAGAGTTCTGATGTCATACAAGATCGACGGGCTGAGGTCATAGCTAACCCTGGTGCTAATCTGATCAACAGTACCCGGTCTAGGGGCCTGATCGACACCCATTTCCGAGAGTGTTACTCGGCAGTGGTAGTTGGGGAAATGAAGTACCGGTGATGCTGATGAGATTCATTGCGTGATCCCACAACGGCTCTGTTTATATGAAAACGAGGGTATGAAGGAGATATTGTTTTTCAATAAGTGATCCTGAACACTGAAAATGCTGACTGGCAATTGTAACAAGTGTACTAATATGTATATTGCACAAATCACTAAACTTCCATTGCTGTGTTTAGAAAAGTCCTAGTACATACAAGCAACCCCCCCTCCCCCACAAACAGAAAAGGTGATTATGGAAACAAAATTTGATACCTACTATACGTGAAATAACCCCATGACTGAGGCACCTTGAAAATGTATGAACCAAGAGCAGCGAAGACCACCCCATTCTCCCTTCCACAAGTCCACCATAACTCAGATCGCACGCTCATGGCGCTGCGCGATTTCTAGACGTCGGGTAACGTGGCGAAGTAGAGGTCCGATACCGAATCATACTTTTTGCTGGTTTCCAAACCAGAGGTTTTAGTGGTTTCCGCATGCTCCAAGTTCGAGGAGGGGCTTCTGATGTTGTCTTGCCTTGGAATGGGGACGTAGTTTTCCCAACTCGGCCACGGACTTTAACACCTGTTTGAGGGCTATGGAAGGGCCTCCATAACACATGCTGTGGAGCCCGCTCTGCAGTTTTGTTGGTGCTTTCCCATGTGGCAGTATGGAGTTCACTGATGGTTTGCTCTAGATCCTCAACGCTCTCCACAGATTCTCTGCTTGCCTTCTCATGTCCGTCGTGAGCAGGCGCCAATCGTTTCTTCTTCTGTTCTTTCTCTCTCTCTTGTTCTTGTTCTTGATTTTGGTCTTGCTCTTTTGTAAGATTGATTTCTTCTTTTGTAGGCGTTGAGGTCTCAGGCTTTTCAACCTTCAGAGATAGCACTTGGCTGAGGTTTTTGGATAGAGCCTTTTCCTTTCGAGCAGCCAACCGTTTTCGCTCGATGATCAACCTTTTTTCCAGACATTTTTGCAACATGTCTTCGTATATGGCAAGAGTATCAGCTGATTTTCCTCGGCGCTCGAGCTTGTTTGTCATTGACAATGCGTTCTTCCATGCAGTATACTTGAAACCAAGCTCGGCCCTGGATGGCCTTCCTATACCTCTCTTTTTGGGTCCGCCACATTCCGTGATAACTTCGTTGAACTCGGCTATGAGATCTATGATAGTAGCATTACTATCCTTCGGCAGTACGGAATCAGCTGGTATTGCCGTTGATTTTGGTGAAGCTGAGATAATCAGCTTTGGTGTATCATCTGTGCTGTTTTCACTCAGAAAGAGGCAGTTCAGTGAATCTGGCTGTTTTTTCGTCGTTTCATGAGTGCCATCTTGTGCAGACTCGTCGGGCGGCAGGCTCTCGTCCTTCAAAAGCACCTTGTTAGCCAGTGTATACTGAAACAACCTCGAGGATTCAGCAGTTGGTTGGCTTCGCAACTGCTTCATATGCACTTACGATTGGATCCAAATCATTAGTAGTCTCCAGGTCAATAGCAGGCTCCTCATTTGACTGCTCTTCAGCGATTCCATCAGAGTATGTCACCTCACTTTTCAACGCTAATGCCGTATGGATCATAACTCTTGTCCTTCTCCTGACATTTACCTTGACTTCGTAGCAAACCGCAGAAGCATCAATTTGAATAACTTCTTTCAATAACCGCCTTGCATTGCGTTCCAGCTTTGTAGCCTCTTTGCGGATAGCAGATCGCGCTTCGGGGTTGATGTTGGGCTTCACCCCTGACACACCTGTGATGGAGGGTCCGGCATCCCTCAAATGTTCCTGAATTTTTTCTGCATCGTGCTCCAGAGATCTAATCCTTTCCATGAACAGTAGCTCTTCCTTCTGATACACGATAGATTTCTTTCCCGAGAATTGTAGGTCATTATGTGCTTCGGACGCTGCCTCCAAGAATTTTTGTTTACCGAGGTCGATACTTTCGATTACCTTTTTTACCGTTTCGAGACTGCGATCAGAATCCACGTAGACAGCGCCGAATATAGCCTCAAAGCTCTCAGCGACTTGACTCACTGATGGAATATCCATCCCTTCACCAATTAGGACGTCTTTGTCTATACCAAGCTTACGCGCTTTTGAGTACAGCTGAATTGTTGTTGCTATTGTATTACCGATCTTCATATCTATAGGAAATGTAAGCTTAGATGTTGTCTCACATGACATTGGTAGAAGATCGCCTACACTGAGCTATCCGGAGTGTCAGTGTGAATCACATGAGCTACTTGTTAAACACACCTGGTGAGTATCCCGTATCATACCATATATCACACAAAACCATACTGAGTGCTCGATCGCCTAGCAATGCTAGGCGATTGTTTTGTTTAACTTGGTGGATCATCCCTTTAAAAAATAGAGGGGAGTTCGATGTCGTGACCTTCAATGCTTCTACGCATAACATTTTGTTTCTGAAGGTGTACTGGATGCGCTCTTCGATGCGTCCGACCCTTGCTACTGCCTCTAGCATATCGTGGTGATGTGGTGGTGGGAGTCCGTGCCATTCTAATTGCTGAGTTGCAAGTTTCAAATGCATTTCATCTTTTCTCTCGAAGAGATCCGGTATCCGGGATTTTGGCCCGAAGTGTTGTGGCGGCTCACTGCGACCCCATAAAAGTCTCCGTTGTGTACTGCTGCATTCTGGAGCAGACTTGACCTGCCGTTTGTTCTGAAATTCCTGAAGATGCCATGGCGTAGAATAGAAACCACCAGGGAGCCTGTAAGGAAGGCAGCGCCTCGAAGGCACAGACAGCCAACTACTTTTAAACATCATTCCAGACTTTCGAGAGGATTATGTTATTTGAAACTGCAATAAATGAGTGACATGAGTTCCTTGGCGGACAACATTCTTATTGGACAGTAAAGAGTCCGCAAGAGACGTACCGCCGCATCAGAGAAGTCCAAATCCCACGGGCCAATCACTCAGAGTCAGCCTCTAAGTCATATTTTCTTGATCAAAGCGAAATCGACTCTTGGCTTTACTGGTATTCTCCATGCAGATGATGGCTGACCAATGCAAAAGGTTAATGCAAAGGGTTGGCCGAAATTTCCTCGGGTTTAGGTTGCACCCGCACGGACGCAGCACGTTTTTGCCACTGTAGTACAAAAACACAGGTTTCACGGCACCGACTTTCGTCGCTGTGAAACTCTGTATACGAACTCAGAAATTCCAAGAATCTGAACTATTTCCTTGCTAATATAGATACTCAGAATGTGGTTGGTTTGGTCAACGTTGTTGAATTCATGTCTCAAGTATTTGTGCGGTACCTACAACTACTAGTAGTAGCCAGCTATCTCACGGACCTCACTGTTATCTCAACCAACAAGATAATTATAATATGTGCTTTATTTTACAGAAAAAAAAGTGCGGCGAGCTGCATATATCTGAATGTTTTACGTCGCTATGGAGAGCGCTTGCGAAAAACCAGCATCAATAAGTCCTGTGGACGCCGAATCTCATCCTCTTTGTGTACTTCATGTTGCAACTTGGTACATTCATGGTTTCTCACATTTTCTTCATGATTAGAACGGTATAATCTATTACATAGCATAAACATTTACCCTCTGTCCTATCTCTTCCAGCAACCATCACCCTCAACCGTCATACTACCCAGATTTCCGTTGCCCTGGTGTAGAAAGGAGTGTATTTTGATGCTAAAGCATCGACACGCGGTTTCTCAAGCCGCTCAAGCATCAATAATACGAAAAATAAGATAATCCTTCCCCCAGCTCAAAAAATCGATTGGTTATCTTCCAAAAAAACCGCCCAACCGCTATGCTCCGAACAATGCCAAATAGACACCAACACGTCGTGTAACATGACCTTTCCTCGCCAAACACCACCATACACAGTAACGTAACCGCACAACATATCCTACTCCCAAATATAGAACAAATCCTAAACCATCATCCGCTGCGTATTATCTCCGATTTTCCCCCATCTAAAAGTAGTAATTCACCCCAAACTAATGTATCCTGCACCTCCCACCACTCTCTTCAACAACATGCAAAACAACACGACGGACAATAATCCGCACATATCATCCTACAATCAAACCAGGTCCAGAAGCAGCCTCGAGGCGCACAGCAGCACGGTTTATCTTGTTTTTCTGTTTCTCCGCTGGGCATTTGTACGTTTTGAGTGGGGATTGGTTGAGCGGCGTAGTTCATTTGGGGGTGTTGCTGCCACTGAGAATCTGGGCTTGGGTATGGGTTCGATTGGTACTGTTGTTGAGGGTAGATTTGAGGAGTGGGCGGGTATGGGGAAGTCATTGTGAGGAAAGGTTAGTTAGAAACGAAGCAGAGAAAAGAGAGAACTTTGTGGAGCGAGTGATGAGTGGTTTGATTTTGGGATGATGGATGATTTTCCATAGCATGATGCGTTTTTATGCCCAGCGGTTACTTTCAGCTTGTGGCTTCAGCTGAAGAGCAGCCTGTCGCCGCCAAGGAGACAAGAGACACTAGAAATATGTTGTGCGACGTTGGCCTTGCATGTATCGGGTAAGGTTTTCTTGGAGAAATAAATTCGTGTATATAAGTCATTAGAAGTATATGTCTAGAAGAATAACAACGCGATCCTAGCTTGCAAAACCAGGCTTATTACCCACGCCCCCAGGTTTCCACCTGAGACATCTACAACATCGCCCTCTGCTTGGCTGATCTGCCTGCTGGCAGAATACTCTGCGGGTTGCGGAAGACGTTATGTGGGTCCACTAAAGCCTTGATCTGTTGTAGCCTATTCACATTGTTGTCCCAGTAATAGGTTGCACTGTTCGCACCCAGTGCGGGATCGACATAACCTGGGTATACGCCTTCATCGTGGTCTGCTCGTGAGTTCATGACAACGTCGTTGATACCGCTGAGATAGGCGCGACTCGTTTTGCTGAGCTGCATGCTGTTAGAAAAGTTGTCTATAGTGTGAAAAGATGTGGAATGAACTTGCCGTGCCCAGTAGATTGACGGCATATGCTTGGTGGAAGAACAGCGCATCGCGGTGTCCATACGCAGTTGCATCTTCCGGAACGTCGTTGACGGCGCCACCCGCAAGATCCCATATCATAAAGAAAAGCGCACCGCCCTTGTCTGCCGTGTCAATGTAGTTGAAGACCTTGTCAACTGTAGCATCTGACATGAGATCTTTCTGTGTATAGGCAAGGCTTTTGGCATAGAAGTGAGCCGGGGTGTTGCCGACAAGTTGCAATGCGACCTGCTCTGACCAGTGACCGACAACACCGAGCCAATCCTTCATCTGAATAGAGCTATTGCTTCCGCTTGTTTGAAGAAGGGAAGGGAGATTCAGACTGTCATACTCTGCCTGGCTACCAAAGTAGGTACCAGTGATGATGGCGCCAATAGGTTCAGCAATGACGTACTGGCTGGCAAACTTTCTCGAAAGCTTAGGATCCGAGACCAATTTCTGCCACCTCTTGAAAAGATCTGCCTTTGCTTGTGTCGAGCCACCTTGGAAAGTGTAAGAGTAAACTACACCGTTGCTGGGTGCTGCTTGGGTGCGAAACCTGAATTCAGTGACGATACCAAAGCTGGCGCCAGCTCCCTTCATAGCGAAAAAGAGATCCGGGTGTTGTTTGTCCGAGGCACGCACGACAGTTGAGTTGGCTAGAACGACCTCGATTTCTTGAACATGGTCGAGAAGAGAACCCCACATGCGAGAAGCTGGTCCAAGTCCGCCGATAAGTGCGTGTCCTCCGGTACCAACTTGTGGGCATGTTCCATAAGCCATGGCACGGCCACCATTCTCGCCGAGTCGCTTGGTGAGATCACCAAGGCGAGTTCCACTACCAACAGTGGCTTGCCAGGTAGATTTATCGATAGAGAACTTCTGGAAGTGCTTCAAGTCGACGACAACAGCACCGTCGCTTCCTCCAATACCGTAATTACCAAATGAATGTCCGCCGCTGCGCGATTGTACAGGCAGATTGCTCTCGGCGGCGCATTTGACAATTGCAGCAACTTGATCAGCAGTACTGGGATAGGTGACTGCGGTGGGAGTGATCGGGATATCGAGATTGTATGGCTTGACATTATTGATTTGGTAGAGGGGGTCGCCTTTGAAGGCGACATTATTGTCGCCTACGGCATTGATGAGACACTGGTGGATCGCAGAACCTGCAATACCTGTGGAGCCCCCAGTAACTGTGGAGATTCCCGACTGGACGGCACTCGCGGCGTTGCCCATGGTTTATGATATCTTAATGTATGGTGAGTTGTTGGTTCTCTCCCAGTGATATCAAGTGGAGTACGTATATGAAAGTCTGCAAACAATCTTCGAAATGAATGCCAACTGGAACTCTGGAAAAAGCAGCTGAAGAACGAATGATAAAAGAGAGCGACTAGAATGAGAGTAACGGATGGCTGTGAAATCACACGTATGACCACCGCGTCTGATCCAAAGGACGGACGTAGACGGCAAGCATGAGGCCAAAATTGACAACAAGAGTGTAAACGCGTGCACTTTCGCGCACAGCCTTCATGCTGCAAGTAAGGCTTTTGGAGACGATCAAACCGTACCGAAAGTTTCCGTTCACTTAGTTGTCCCAACAGGGAACGTTCATAAGTGGACGCCACTCTTGCCTCCTACAACTATACATTTTCATAACAAGGATGATCTCCATATGGTCAGCACTAGCATCGGCAAATAACGATTGACCGCAATACGGAACAACCGCCAAGGCCAGACGGCATTCCCGGGACCTAATTTGCTGCGCAAAGGCAGTCCGTGAAAGCCAGCTTTCAGGTACGGTAATTTGCGGCTTTATGATGACTTTGCATGCCGTACGTGTGTGCTTATAAAGTTTAAGTGGTGGGGCCTTGAAGAGGCAGTGCGTGTATCACGAGTCAGGACCTTGCTCATGATGTGATGAGAAACTTGCGACCAATCACTCTTTTGCAAGAGTGAAAGTCAGCGGGGGCTACTCTGGGCATCATTTCATCGGCAATTACTACTGGGCTCAATCACTTCTCAATACCATATACTTCTTGTCCGGTGATGTGGTATTACGTCTACCCCTTCCTTCTCTTTTTCCTTGGCCAAATCGTATAGGAAGAAGTCAATGAGAATCGCATTAACTTCCGTATCTGGTTTGAGTTTCTTGATCTCACGGCGGAGCAGCTCCACGCCCCAGATGCTGCACCCGCGTATTTGCATTTCCCAAGTATGCCCTGATTCGATGATTTCAAGACGACGAATTTTGTTCTCGAGAGGCGGGCAGTACCATAAGATGCCTAATGAATGCAGCATCTGCGGTATGCGGTAGTCTAGAAGAGCGTGAATTTTGTGTATCGATGGCGCGGATGAAGTGCATACGTACCTGCAAACATGGTGATTTTGTCGATATCGTTAAATTCACCATAGCCCTCGCTTTCAAAAGCCGCCCATAAGTCTGCTACGAAGATCTGGGCCCGCTTCAAGAAGCGCACCTTTTTATTTTCAAAAGTGCCCTCATCTCGGAAGCAGTTGAACTTTTCAGCGAGTAAGTTCACCAGGCCGGCTGCTGACTTATTTGCGTCCTCAATGAGGGTGACCACGCTACTGTCAAACTCCTGTTCCATCAGTCAAAAATTGACTTCACAATATGGATTCTTGTGTTTTTTTGCAAACAAACCCACCTCCTCTAAAATCTGTCCAGCCTCTCGCAGACACCGTACCCTTTGCTCAAACATGGGGATCTCCTCGTCCGTGCCAGAACTAAAGACTGTGCGCAGCACTTCTTCTGAACATGCCTCCTCGTCAACCCAGAAATCCGGACTAGTGATGGGGATATCTTGCTCTAGGGCTCTTTGAAGTATTGCTACCAAGCTCCAATAGCCAGTCCACCTCTTTCCCTTGTAGACCACAGCAAACCGGTCTTCTTCATTCTTTTCGCTCCAGAAACTGAAGTTCAGCAGGTCCATTGTGAAGATGAAGTTGACAGTGTTCTCATCCTTGGTTTTCGGATGCAGTTCGTGCTCGGACCATGATTTTGTTGAATACTCACGCTTTTCCATTTCATCGAGCACAAGCTGAGCCGCGACTTTTGTCGACCGCATGTCCAGCGCAACATCAAGGCTATTGTCGTAGATGAATTGAGAATTTTCGAGCACTCTTGTTTCCGGGGGACCGTCTTGTTTGATGCCACCACCCCAATGCTTCCGCATAAGGTCTAGCAGCTCCAGGTCGACCTCATCATCTGACATGATGGGGGCAGGGAGAAGTCACCAGCTCCAATGTCGGTAGAGGCAGTAAAGAGAGAAGCCAAGACAAGAGGCAAGTCCACAATGAAGGTGAGTAGCGATGAATATGCGTCCCTGCGTCTCGAGTGGTATGCTCCACTCATAGGGCGTTCGTTTAGGTGCCAAGATTCAGAGGCTGAGAAGCTGGCGGCGCGAACCCGGTGGAGCGGCGCTATAGCTACTATATGGGGCAGCACTGACGTCTCTCGTCTGTCGTCTCTAGTGTCTCTGACCTTCACTTTCACCTGGGAATCGGCGTCGCAGCCCAGCGCTTCGCATGTCGCAACCTCGCCCGTAACACAACTCAACCTCTGCTCTTGTACACGACCGAACCTGCAATGGCTCGCGACAAGTTTGCTCGCCAGAGCCTGGGCGGCGCGCTCCACCAGCGCATTAAAGAGGTAACTATCCGCCTGCGCAACAGAATGCCCAGTCGTGGCTGACCAAGTCCAAGTCGCGCGTCTTGATGGTCGGAGCTGGGGGCATCGGCTGCGAGCTTCTCAAGAACCTGGTCCTCACCGGCTTCGGCGAGATCCACATCGTCGACCTTGACACCATCGACCTCAGCAACCTCAACCGCCAATTCCTGTTCCGCACTGAGCACATCAAGAAGTCAAAGGCATTGGTAGGACAACGACTGGATCCACGTACATGCGGCTAGGCATGCGCTGACCCCCAGACAGGTTGCGAAAGAGTCGGCTGCCAAGTTCAACCCCAATGTTGACATCATCGCATACCACGACAACATCAAGGACACCCAATTCAATGTCGCGTGGTTTAAGACCTTCCGTCTCGTCTTCAACGCGCTCGACAATGTGGATGCGCGCCGCCATGTCAACAAAATGTGCCTGGCAGCTGGCGTGCCATTGATCGAGAGTGGCACCACGGGCTTCAATGGCCAGGTCCAGGTCATCAAGCGGGTGCGCAGCCAGAAACTCAGGCTTTTTGAGACTACACATGCTGACTGTTGCGAATAGGGCGAAACTGAATGCTACGACTGCACGCCCAAAGATGCGCCCAAGTCCTTCCCCGTCTGCACCATCCGAAGTACCCCATCACAGCCTATTCACTGCATCGTCTGGGCAAAATCGTACTTATTCGCTGAGATTTTCGGCACGTCGGAAGATGAAGCCCCCGAGCTGGATCACAGTGAAGACGCCGATAACGCGGACGAGGTCGCAAACCTGCGCAAGGAGGCACAAGCGTTGAAGCGCATACGCGACTCCATGGGCTCCCAAGATTTCCCACGGCTGATCTTTGACAAAGTGTTCAAGGAGGACATTGAGCGCTTGCGGAGCATGGAAGACATGTGGAAGACTAGGAGAGCACCCGAAGTCCTGGATTACGAAAAGCTTGTACAGGAGTCGGCAGAGGTGGGTGAATTCATCGCGCAACAAGACCAGATTGTTTGGACCGTTGCCGAGAATTTTTCCGTCTTCATTGATAGTATAAAGCGACTGAGTAACCGACTGGAAGAGACGCGCGCAAACAATGAGATTGGAAACTCAATGCCCATTCTCAGCTTCGACAAGGACGACGTAGACACGCTCGACTTTGTTGTCGCAAGCGCCAATCTCCGGTCACACATCTTTGGCATCGAAACGCGGTCCAAGTTTGATATCAAACGTAAGGACTCTGACACGGACTTTGGGAAATTTTGCTAACAGACTGCAGAAATGGCCGGTAACATCATCCCCGCAATCGCCACCACGAACGCCATGACTGCCAGCCTCTGTGTTCTCCAAGCCTACAAGGTCCTTCGCGACCAGCTTGACAAGGCAAAAATGGTCTTTCTTACCCGCGGCACCGAGCGTGTCATCTCCAGCGAGCCACTGCGACCACCTAACCCCCACTGCGCGACATGCAGCGTATGCTATGCAACGCTCGCTGTTGATACAAAGCGTGCAAAGTTGAGCAACTTGGTCGATTACATTCTGAAGGAGAATCTTGGATACACTGAAGATTTTAGTGTCAAGCGCGATGCGGATATACTTTACGATGTGGATGAGGACATTCATCTTGATAAGACATTTGAGGAGCTGGGGCTCAAGAACGACACTTTCATCACCATCTCCGACGATGCAGAAGAGAACACCAAGGTTGACGTGGTCTTTTCCATCACTCATCAAGAGTTCACCGAGAACGCAAAGCCTCTGAGACTACCTGATGAAGTCAAGATTGCGACAAAGCCCAAGGCACCCGCTCCAGAGACGAATGGGCATGCTACTATCAACGGCACCGTTGCAGCCAGCAACGACGCTACAGATGAAGGCGCGAATGGTGCTACGAAGCGAACAGCTACCGAGGCTGGTCTGAATGATGAGCTCATACGCAAGAAGGGCAAAGTCATGGAAGAGCCTTTGAAGCAGGATGGTGATCATATCGTCATACAAGAAGATCACATCAACGGTGCCATTGTCATTGAAGATGACTGAATAAGCTATTCGCTAAAACGCTTGGTCAACTCTTGCAAGTTGGCACGTCATCTTTTAGGATTGCCCCAGGGCCCTGATCCGCTCTACCATTGCCGGAACCTTGGCCTTGTCTAACCTTTTCTGGTTTCCACACTGTACCACATGCATTACCACCATGTTTTGCTTGCTGGTCAAGGGCAGCACTGCCCTTGAATCTCCAATCGATTTGCGCTGCAGCCTCAACACCTGCGAAGCACACATAGATTTCCTACTCTGTACTATAGCAAGTCTGCCATCTAGTCAGTCTTTGAGCAAAAGGCGTTTTTAAAGGCAGCACGGACACGAATATACCTTTTTGCTTTCTTCTTCTTTTCAGGACCTGTTTGGTGGCGAGCGAGTAGGTCAACCTCGTAAGTGGGGGAAGTCAAAAATAACGACCGTACCTATACAGTCGCACTGGCAAACATATCATACAATAATGCAAAAATATTAGACATCCCATTTTGATCCCAGATGACGTAGGATTAGACAGCAGACAGCCCCCCATCTAGATTAATGACACAGTTATGCGCATACTGATTCTCTGCAAGGAACAGCGCCGCATGGGCAATTTCCTCGGGCGTGCCAAACCGACCCAGCGGAATCCTCTGTTGGATTTCCGCAGAGTTGAGATCTACACATTACCACTTGTCAGTTTCCAACTACATCACCATCTAGCCCTGAGACTGCAAGACAATGACCACATACCTCTTGTCATATCCGTGTCCACATAGCCCGGCACAATAGCATTAACACGCACCTTATGACTCGCATACTCGGTCGCCAGCGCGCGCGTAAAACCCAGCACACCCGCTTTCGATGCCGCATAAGCAACTGTACCGTATCCGCCTTGCAGACCCAGCAGCGAAGCCACGTTGATAATGGTTGGGCTGGGGCCCTGAGTTTCGGTCTTGGGTCTGCGTAGATAGCCATTGCGGAGTAAGAACTTTGTGCCGTGCATTAAGGCGGTTAGATTGGTGGTGATGAGCTGGTCGATGGTGGACTCGTCGAGCATGCTGAAGAGCCTGGCTTGGGTTATGCCAGCGCAGTTTACGACTACGTCGATGCGCGAGGGGTGGGTGGAGGATGCGTCCCGGGATAGTTTGGGGAGGTGGGCGCCGAAGGTGTGGGCGGACCAGAAGGCTGGGCCGTGGGATATGTTGGCTGCTATGTAGTTGTGCTGGTATTGGGTGGAGGTGGAGGCAGAAGGTAGAGGGTGTAATGATGAGACGGCGGCTTGGAGATTTTGCTCTGAGCGCGATATGAGGGTGCACCTGTATGAGTTCTTTGCGAATAATTGGGCTATGGATAGGCCGATACCGCGACTCCCGCCTGTGATGAGTATATGTCGCGGTCTCGTTGCCATGGTGAAGTTTTTCTTCTTGTCCAAAGTCGGCTGTGAGACTGTGGAAAATGGTACGTAGGTGACTATTATCTCAGCCTCTATTTTTCTACCATTTGCTCTTCTGCTGAACTACAGAGATGAGGCCAATTGTCAAGGCCCAACCAATGCGAGGTAGATGGGCTTTGGTGAATTAAAAAAGATGAGATGATGTCAGTGTACAACGTCCATGCTACGCGAGAAAACGTGACTGCGCGACTCGCCAGCTTTCCCCGCAATCCCTACCCTTGCCTCTCACCCCCACGACGAATACCTTTTCCGCCCGTTGCTTGCGACCATGGCAGACGAAAAACCCACCGAGTACGTCACGTTGGTATCCAACGACGGCTACGAATTCAAGCTGTTGCGTTCTGCAGCATGCATAGCAGGAACAATCAAGAAGGCGCTGGACCCCATGTGTACGCCTCGCAACTTCAGGATCATGTACCGCAGTGGACCCTGCAGCGACTAACGATACCCTCCAGCTGGCTTCCGAGAAAATGCACAGAATCGCGTAGATCTACCGACCATCAAGTATGTCTAGATATTCGTCTCTGCGCCCCGCCAGTGCTGCCTTGATGGGCTCACGCCACTAGGGGCGAAAGGCACATAATGAGCCCAAACTAACTGTTAGTCAGTGGTGTTGTACTCGAGAAGGTCTGTGAGTACCTGTACTACAACCAGAAGCATGCGGAGAGCAAAGACGTCTCGGATATGGACATACCGCCTGAGCTGTGCTTGGAGCTGCTGATTGCTGCTGATTACCTCGATGGTGCGATCATATTCATGAGAACAGGGACTTGTACTAACGATTCTAGTATGAAATATGGGACTATCGTACACCGTCACTAGAACCATTCACAAGCGCCATGCTGTAAGAATATCTGCGCTCGAGCATACGACTACCATACTCGAAGACTACGTCATCAGGTAGTATGATGAGGGATGCTTAGCGGGCAGTCGAAGTCTCGCCATACATAGCGGCCTGCCAACAGAAGACTTCGGTGTCAACTCTGACGAATGCCGATAAATTAATTAAACTACAATACTCTATGTTTTCACATACTCCACGCCCCCTTATTAAATCTTACTGTTGAGGTATTACATAGCCGAGTACACATCCACGACTACCTATGTATTTCACTACCAGATCGAACTCCTCAGCCTATTCCCAATTCGCATAGCATTCTGCATGGAAGCCTGCGCTACAATTCGGCCAAGATACGTCCACTCCCTCAGCCCCAACTCGTACAGCCTCAATTTCCAAATTCCATAACCCACAAGCAGCAGCACCAACATCCTTAACACCATCCTCATCCTCATCCTCACCAGACCCTCTCTCGTATACTCAATATTCCAATCACTCCACCTGACGAACAGACAGCGATACCAAAAGAAAACTTGCGAGTAGGGATACACAGTCGAGTTCCAACCATTTTCGGTAAAATACCAGCTCGAGCACCCGCTTTTCCAGACGGTGTTGTCGATCGCACGCTGCATCTCGGCTGTGTACGCTTTTTCGGCCTCGGGCTTGACGTCGAAGGTGCGAGCTTCGCGTGTAAGGATGAGTCGGATGAAGTTGATGGAGTAATTGATCATGTCTAGGAACGTCAGCAAGGAAAATCCGTAGTTGGACTTGATTGTGTGCAGAAAACAGGGGTTTTTCTAGAGAAATAATGGGAAAATAGACTTACTTTCACTCGCCATGAGCACGCTGGAATGCCCAGTCACAGTATTGGGCCCGAATATCATCATGAAATTCGGGAACCCGTCCATCGCAGTGCCCTGGTAGGCTTGTGCGCCTCCCCTCTCCTCCATGACCTGGACGATATCTTTTCCCTCTTTACCAATGACTTTGAGCGGATGCAGCCATCGCGTCGTGTCGAAGCCGTTAGCATGGACAATGATGTCGGCGGGGATTTCGCGTTCGGGATAGTCTTCTATTTTTGCATTCGCCGGGTACGACGCACCTGGTCCGACAATGACGCCTGTCTCAGTGATTCTGTTTAGAGGCTGTGTCGTAAGTTCTATCTTGGGATCATTCAGGCTGTTGAGCCAGTACTGATCGTAGATGCGGCGTTTGCATCCCACCCCATAGTCTGGCGTCAGCATGTCCCAATATTTCTTAGGTGCGGTTTTGCGCATATGGTCGAGGAGCCAATCCTGGTATTTTGCACGCATGAACAATGAGATGGGCGTGTTGGGGAAGATTTGGAAGAAGACTTTTTCGGTGTTGAAAAAGACGACGAAACGGACAATTTGTTTGAGGCCGGGTATGTTGCGCATTAGCCAGGGCATGTTTGCGCTCCACCACTCGTCACCTCCGGGAGGTGGGACGGAAGCGACGACCCATGGGGGTGATCGCATGATTTGGGTTACTGATTTGGCGTTGTAAGGGGGGTGAGGCAGTGGAGGCACAACTTGTGCGCTGCTGCATCCTGATCCTACCACCACGACGTTTTTATCCGTGAGATTGACTGTGTCGTCCCATCGTGCAGAGTGAAACACTCTGCCCTTGAATTTTTCAATCCCCTTGATGTTCTCGGGAAAGGCTCTGGGCTCAACCAGGCCGCCAACACAGCTCAGCACTACTTTTGCCTTCACGACTTGCGTCTCAGAATATACTGCCTGTTCGCCCTTTTCTTGGACAATCTTCATGCGTTCTCTGGATGAGAGGTCGCCCGTGCCTGCGACAAGACGGCGTAAGGTAACTTCCCATAGGGCTTCGTTGTCTAGCCATTTGCAACTCTGGATGTCGGTGTTGAGCTCGAATTTGTCAATGACTTGGTATTTCTCGCACACATCGTGGTAGTACTGGGCGATTTCCTTGCCGGGCGGGCGGAAGGCACTCCAGTTGGGGTTTTGAGCAAAGGAGAAGGAGTAGAAGACTGCGGGTATGTCACTGTTGTAATATTAGCGTTAGTGCTCGTTTTCTTATGTGACGTCCACCATTCAATATGGATGGTGACTAGATGAGGTAGAAACTTGTAGTCTTTCCTGCTCAGTGCAAATTGAATTTATGGAGACATACCAAGCAACACCAGGATACCGATTGATCCACCAAGTCCCTCCAATTCCAGTCTGCCGGTCAAAGACACGGAACTGATCGAATCCGAGTTGGGCTTTTAACTGACAAGCGGCGGCAATTCCTGACGCTCCAGCGCCGACGATGATGACAGGGTAGTATATAGAGGCATTTTTGTCATACCCGTTTATCTTTTTTATTGACTCGGTGATCATATTGGCGTCTTTATGAAGAGAAAATCAAAATGCAGCGTGGAGGGTCGAGAAGAGGTGAAACACTGTACAGGAACAAAAGAAAAATGGACGAAAATGGTACCAAACTCGTTCGGATCCGACACTTAGAGCACTCTCTGAGGAGAAAAGGTATGGTTCATGTTTATGTACTCCGCCCTGATGGTCGGATGATCATTTCCAGTGATGAGCCTTGTAATGATGGCGGTTCTTTAGCCCAGTGCTCTTCTTGTACCATGGTTCATCGTATATATGAACAATGAATAGTTAATTCAGTATCCAATGACAATATCAATCGCCAAGGGCAAGGCTGTTGGTTGAGGGTACTGCCACTATCATTGCACCCTGACCCAGCGATGCCAGGGCAATGATGCCCACTATATATCTACATCATGAGATGATATTGTGAAAACAAAACGTCAATAGTGAATCTCAGACATCTCTCTGCGTGCAAGGGTGCTGTATGCTCGCAAGGTGTGCCATCCGATGCCTAGACAACGGCGGTGCAAGAACGTCACGTGGCTACGCGGATGTGGCACGGGCTGCGCGAGCCTTGGCCGCTCGCGAACCTGACCTCATAGTTTGGTTGGAGCCTCAACCTACACGCTTACCACAAAGCTCGAGTGGAACGAGCTCGACGCTCCCGAGATTATCATGAGCAGGCCTTGAACGGAAAATCTGGTCCTTGGAGCCTCTGGTCAGGACCCACATCAACGCCATGAACACCATCGATGGCTCAGACCGTCATATAAAGACGGAAGAAGGCAAGGCGATTTGGACAAGGACCAGCGGATTTACCACTAACACTACTCAGTCCCTCCGCCCTCACTACTAGCCATTGTACTTGACACCAATCCACACGCCTGGGCACACTTGTCCTCGACACTCTCGCTCTCGACTGCGCTGGCCAACATCCTCGTCTTTATCAACGCGCACTTGGCGTCTGGAAATACGAACGAAGTAGCCGTCATAGCATCACATTCGCACAAGACCACCTTTCTCTATCCGTCGCCCGTAGCACCGCAAACCCAGGCACGCAATGGTACTGCAAATGGCGATGTGGAAATGAATGGGACTGGGGGTGATAAAGGCCAACATACGGCTGAGAGTGCGAACAAGTATCGGCCATTCGCCGTGGTGGAGAGTACCATACTTCAGAACTTTGTCAAGCTACTGAACGAGACCAAAGAAAGTCATCTGGAAGCAACGCCCACGACACTCATTGGCGGGGCCCTCTCCCTGGCGCTTACACACATCAACAAGCAGACTATCTTACATGCCCCCACCGCCGCCTCTGCTGAGAGCGCCTCTCTCGCAGCGCTGGCCGACTCGGAGAACACCCATGTTGACCGCGTGTCCCTTACGTCTCGCATCCTTATCGTATCCGTGTCTGGCGATCTGGCCAACCAATACATACCCGTCATGAACTCCATCTTTGCAGCACAGAGGAAGCGGATACCCATCGATATTCTGAAGCTAGCTGGCGATACAGTTTTGCTGCAGCAGGCCAGTGATGCGACTGGCGGAGTGTACATGAAGCCAGAACGTCCAGAGGGTTTGCTTCAGTATCTGATGATGGCGTTCTTACCTGATGTAACGGCAAGAGCAAGCTTAGTAGTCCCCAGCGCTGGGGGTGTTGATTTCCGTGCCGCATGCTTCTGTCATCGCAAAGTTGTTGATATTGGCTTTGTTTGCAGTGTGTGCCTAAGCAGTAAGATGAGCTTTCTTTGTCTACCCCGCCCACAGATGCCCTAACATCGTATAGTCTTCTGCAGCCCGGATCTCCCGGGTAATCTCTGCCTGACGTGTGGTTCTTATCTGTCGCTACGGAGCGCGATGACCAACCCGCCAGCCCTGATCCCACGGAAGAAGAAGAAGAAGAAGAAGGCGGGGATCGACTCTGCGACGCCAGGGGCGAACACTCCGGTAGGATCAGGGACGCCTGTGCATGCCTGAAGTGCGAACCTTGTTGTTGGAATGTGTAGTGCTATCACATGTCGTGATCTGGTTCGACATTGCCTCGCTGGGCCTGTGCGTGCAGCTACGACAATTTCCGGGCCGTGGGGCGGGCCAGTTCCGCTGAAATATGCGAATTTGCCCGTTCATGGGGAAAGTGGGATGCTTGGCTAGCGGGCAGATTGGGCCACCGGGTAGGCCTTTGGTAAAAATATCAGAAAATAGGCCTGTGGATAAGGCGGGGGGAGGCTTGATTTGACGCATTAGAACACATGGTCTTGGTTGAGGTGGTCATTTGAAGCTAAGGGCTGCATGCTCGGCAAACATGCACGTAACATGAGTAAGGCGTGTTGGGTGCGGGCCCAGCAACCTCTGTGGCTGTTTTGATTTGCGGTTGGTTGTGCAAAGACATGGCCATGGGATTGCTCTGTTTGCAGCTAGACGAATGGACACGATTGGCTAACCTGTGTACATTAAGGAGCAGCCCGCGAAGAAATGTTGAGACAATGCTCATCAAGACTCATGATATGACGGGCGGCGTAGGTTGCTCGAAGTGTCTATCCGTGACGGCCTCGTTTCGACAAGTCAATAGCCTCGGCGTCTGGGCCTGATAGCCTATCTGACAATAGCCACCTACGTACGCCGGTTAGGTATGTAAATATACAGCGTGATAGTTGGACGTGTCGAGTAGCCAGTGACAGGCGGATGTCAGGGATAGGCGAGCGGTAGGCGCAAGAAAAAGGAAACGAGGGCTTATGCAGAGCGGGGTGATTGGGGAAGACGAGGCGAGCAGAGCACCCAGCAGCATGGTATAACTCGCAAGCCGGCAGCGCTACCGATGGATGCGGACAGCAGAAACATGTGTTAGATGACCCCAAGGGGCTGCTGCATGATGCCCGAGTGAACCTGCATGGTGCGGCGCGCAGTGGTTGTGGCGATGCGAGATGTCGGAGAGATAAGGACGTGGGCGGTCGCGTAACTACTTGGACACACTTTGTCTACCACCGAGCCCTTCGTGTCCGGAAATTGTGACGTTCCCGGACAAGCAAAGACGGTGGGAAGACGAGCATGGGCAGCCACGAAAAGCGCAGTCTCGTTTTATGCAACACGCAACATGAACAAACGAGGATGGGTGTCGTGTGGAGTAGTTGCGCAAGGAACGATGTGCTGCATGTGGGTATCTCTGATCGCCGCCGTATCTAGGCTAAGGCGGGCGTGTGCCCCATCATAGCACGCCTCGCGCCCGGATAGGCAGCGCAGGGGTGGCCTCGACAGCCTCGACAGCCTGGGTAGCCCGCCTGGCCTATCAGCCCTATTCACGTTATCACTACCCTTGCTCCAGCTGCTCTCCCAAGCTCTGAGCAATGGCTTTGCATCATTATGCTGATAGCAGAGAGGCTGGGCTGCTGCAAATGGCCTGTGTCGACCCGCGCCCTCGGTCTCACACAGCACTGGGCGAGCATGCGTGAGACGGAAGGATTCGCGAGCCAAAGTACCTGCGAAGGGAACAAGACGAACAAGAGCATGAGATCAAAACAAAAATTACGCCACTCGAGCCAGTGGTTGCCACCAAGAAGCCGTCCTTCTCAGCCCATCGACCCAGAAGCTGTCAAAAAACCGACTCTGTGACATCCCGCACGTACGGTTCAAGCCGAAAGGGTCCGTGGAATCGGCCGCGTGTGCCACTATGGGCGGTACCCTGCAGGTTTGGTTTGGCAGTCGGTCGGTCGATGCGTTTTTTTTGCTTTTGCTTTACGACCCGCGCTCCGTGGCGGATATTGGCTGACAAGCAATGGGGTACTTACCGCACCAAGTGTCTGTGTGTCCCCCCCCTCCCCATCCCATCCCCCCATCCCGCACACTAAGTAGCTATCAAGGCCAGATCCCAGGACCACCCGCTAAAGCGTCCCTCTGATTGATCTGTAACTTGCATCCGGAAACGGGCGGTCCTAGACGAGAGCTTTGATCCGTAATATCATTACTTGTACATATACCTACTCCATCCATGCAAGCCCACCAAGAAAAAACGGCCTTTCGCAAGTAAACCCCTTAGCTTCGCATGCACGTACACTTATTGTAGTAAACATTCCAACTGGCCGCCAGTTTTACCCATATACCGCTGTTCCACCCTCCGAACCCTTCTCCTTCCTCCCTCCCTCCAATTCCAATCACGCCCCCGGCTTCTTCTTTTCTCACCTGCATTTCCTTCGCGCGTTTCAGCGACCACGGTTTTGTTTTTCTTTTGGCTTTCTCGGGGCTTACAAAACCCACCGAGGCCCGATCGCCAAGGAATACGAGGGCAGAACAATCCCTGGAGGGTGTAGCGATATCCACCAAACCCAAACCCCTCTCCACCTCACCCCCATCTTTCTTTTCCCTTTTTGTTCCCACCCGCCCCCCGGAAGACTACTTTTCCGCATTCTCTATCTATCTGATCGACCCTTCTTCCTTTTAATCTTCCACCAAAAAGAACAAAAGGAACATATTGGGATTTTTCTTTAAAAATAGCAGCTTCTACGGAACCGTTTTGCGAATAAAGTTCGAGACCCCGTCTCTTTTGAACGCGGAAAAGACTTGAAGCTGGAAGGAAGAGAAAAGAGTTGGGCAACGAATAGTGGTTAGGAAGAAAAAACTTGGAGACAAAGAGCGTGGTTGTGTTGTCTGTGTGTGGTTAACAAAACGACAAAATCATGGATCCAGTCACATCGGGATTGGACCCCACGGTTCCTCTTGAGACGTTCGCCAACACCAGTATCCCTACCGGCGGCGACTCACGGTTGTACAACCTCAATGTCTTCTACAATGTGAGTTTTATTGCCTCCTCGGGAAACCTCCCGATAAAGAAAAAAAACCCCCGCCAGAAATTGGGAGGAGGTTCCCCAAGTTCGAGTTTCTGGTTGTGGAAAGAGAAAGACGCGGGGCTAATTCAAAGTGTCAACTATTGTAGGCCGGCGATATCGCATGGATGATTACTTCGACTGCACTCGTGCTGCTTATGATTCCGGGCGTAGGGTTAGTATTTTTTTTCCCTGATTCCTTCTATTTTTCCCTTGTCCATCTATTGCATTTATCCAACGAAGGTGTATCTGTGCATATAAATACAAAGAACAACATGGAAGAATTACCAACTAACAAGACAATAGCTTCTTCTACTCCGGCCTCGCACGCCGAAAATCCGCCTTATCTCTCCTATGGCTCTCCATCATGGCCACAGCCGTCGTCTCCTTCCAATGGTTCTTCTGGGGCTACTCGCTCGCCTTCTCGCACAAAGCCGGTCGCTACATCGGCGCGCTGGACAACTTTGGTCTCATGAACGTCCTCGGCGCCCCCTCAGTCGGTAGCCCGCGTATCCCCGATTTACTCTTTGCCGTCTACCAAGGCATGTTTGCTGCTATCACGTACGTTTTCTTTCCATCCCCTTCCCCTCTTTCTCAGCATATGTTTTTTTTATTTTCTTCTCCAAAAAAAACACAACAGAAACTAAATGAAAAACTATTTTCTAGTGTCGCCCTCGCTGTAGGCGCCGTCGCAGAACGCGGCCGCATGCTCCCTTGCATCATCTACATGTTCATCTGGACAACCATCATCTACGACCCCATCGCCTGCTGGACATGGAACTCCTCAGGCTGGGTCTTCAACCTCGGCGGCCTCGACTTCGCCGGCGGAACACCCGTGCATATCGCATCTGGATGCGCCGCTCTAGGCTACTCGTACATGCTCGGCAAGCGCAGCGGACACGGGACCCAGGAGCTCAACTATCGCCCGCACAACGTCACCCACATTGTTATCGGCACTGTTTTCCTGTGGGTGGGCTGGTTCGGGTTCAATGCGGGTTCCGCCTTGTCTGCTAATCTGCGGGCTATCATGGCGGCTGTGTGCACGAATTTGGCAGCGTGTGTTGGGGGCATTACTTGGTGTCTGGTTGACTACCGTCTCGAGCGCAAGTGGTCCACCGTTGGCTTCTGCTCTGGCGTCATTGCAGGGCTCGTCTGCATTACCCCTGGCTCTGGATACGTGCCTGCTTGGGCGGCCGTCGTGTTTGGTGTCTGCGGCGGTATTGCTTGCAACTACGCCACCAAGCTCAAGTACTTCTTGCGCTGTGACGATGCTCTGGATATCTTTGCCGTACACGGCGTCGGTGGCTTCGTTGGAAATATCCTAACTGCCTTTTTCGCTGCGTAAGTCCTCATCATCTTCCCGTCTCCTCATCCTAACAATATCTATAGAGACTACATTGCCCACCTCGACGGCTACACCGTCATCAAGGGCGGCTGGCTAAACCAGCACTGGATCCAACTTGGCTACCAACTCGCAGACTCCTTCTCCGGCGGCGCCTACTCCTTCGTCGGCACCTGCCTCATCCTCGGCATCCTGGATTTCCTCGGCCGTTATATCCCCGCCCTACGTCTGCGCGCAACCGAAGAAGAAGAAGCCGCTGGTATCGACGACGTTGAAATCGGAGAGTTTGCTGTATGTTTCTTCTTCCTCCTCCTCCTCCTCCTCCTCCTCGGGTTCACACACACACCCCCAGGTTATATCAAAGTTTGATTTGCTAACAAAATTGACTAGTACGACTACGTCGAGCTCACCCGCGAAATCAAAGTCCCAGACGATGACAGCGACGACCGCGACGACATCATGGACGAAGGCGTCTCGATGCAAGGCCTTGAGGGCCGTGGCGCTGGAATGCCCGTATCCAATCATCACCATGAGAAGAATCAGGAATCTGTTGATTCTTCGAATCAGCAGCTTGCTGAATGGGCGCATGGCCATTGAGTTTCCCCCTCCCCCTTTCTTTTGACCCCTTCCTTACCACACTCTCTCTCTCTTCCTCTCTCATCTTGATTGGATTTCTATGTAGAAATTTTATGGCTTGTTATATACCACTTTTTCACTTTTGTTTGTTTGTTTGTTTGTTGTTGTTGTTGTTGTTGTTGTTTTTATTCTCTCATATGTATACGCCTGTGTGTATCCTTGACATGAATATATAGTAGCAAAGCTGAATAACCACGTAATGTCTTTTTTTGCATCCTGCTTCTTGTGGGATCGGGATCGTGTGATAAGATTGAAATAGTGAGTGTTTTAGCTCTGGAACTACGTAAATATTACAACGACCTCACACTTGCTGGAGAATGTGTTTGCATGCATGCATTGATCAATTTGGGATGCTTTCACCGTTTACTCGTTGAGTATCCAAATTTGACCCGACATTCATCAAGAGCCACCTTGTACGTGCACAACACTTTCTATAGGCAAAAACAAATCATAACAATGCTAGTGATTCATTGTCTATCTTTCGTCTTCATCTTCATCTCCATCTCCATCTCCATCCTCATGCTTTCAATCTCCAGGATCCAATCGTCAAAAAAAAAGAAGCACCAGTGACGCAAAAAACTTTGTTCTTCGTTTACGCGCACACATGCATCCCTAAACCCCACCCCTTATATCATCATAACCGCCAAAAAAAATAAAAAAAGGAGAGGGAAGCGAAAAGAAGAAACAAAATAAAATGAGGATTTCCCTTTAACCTGGGCTAAGCCCCAACTCCATAACCGATATGATTATCGCATCCCATCCCATCCACACCCACAGCACAATCGAAAAGGGCCTTGAGGGGGTCTTTTTCTGCCCTTATCAGCTCAAGCGGGGTTGTCGCTGGTTTTAATTAGACACAAAATCATGGTGACCCTCCCCATCCATAGTTTCGCCCACCTCATAGAAGACCAAAAAGTTTGGGCGGTGCACAAAAAAAGCGCTTCTCGCTTGACAAAAAGAAGGCTCTAACCCGCCGCCGCTGCAACACCATTTGTATCCATGGGGCTGCCCCCGGCAGCAGCATTTGAGCCATTTGTCGGCCGCCTTCGTGTTCGAATAGCCTTCTTTCTTCGGTCTGCCGGTGTACCCTTGCCCCCCTCTGCTACGTCAACCATGTTGAGATCATCGTCGTCAGGCCTGTCGGCATCTTCGTCATGTTCCTCCCAGTACCTCCTCGTCTCGTCGAGCTCTGTCACGTCTGCAGGTCGCATCCGTAACCACTTCATCCTAGGCCCTGAGCGTGCGCGCTCACTGACTCGGAAACCGTAGATTCGTGGCTCGTATATGCTGCCCGTGCCAAGGCCGGGTGCAAGGTTGTGCGGTGCGACGCCGTTTATTGAAGTAACGTTGGAAGGCGTCGTGTTTCGTGACTTGCCGTCTGCGCTTTGCGATTGTAATTGCTGTAGGGCGTCAATAGTATTGGACGTGTTGTTGCGAAGCCCACCTCCAATGTCGAGGTCGGTAAAAGTCATAAAGAAGAGCGAGGGAAAGGTGGTGCCGAAGAAGGCGCCATCGACAGTCTGGAAGCGAGAGTTGGGTGGGGTGTATACGTCCAGACAGGAGGGACAGTACAGCTTGACCGTCTCGTGGCCAGGGCTGTCATTCAGGCCAACAGGCAGTACTTTGCAGGAGTTGCAGTTTACGCGTGGGCATGTGCCAAAGTGCTGAAGCTCGTACTTCTCAGCCATCTGTTGTATGCCCGGTCGTGACGTGATGTAGCGTTGATGTATGAGTCCGTAGAGCAGCTCCGCAGAGCTTTCTATAACGCTGAGGTCAGATGCTATTCTGAGATGCCTTCGGTCGCCTGCGCGTCGGTAACCTGGAGGCCTCTCGTCGCCCAGTACCTCGTCTTCTTCGTCCTCTTCCTCTTCCTCTTCGTCCTCATCCTCGTCGTCTTCAGGCTCGACATCTAGGATCATCTCCAGTGCTTCCTTATACATGGGCACTTGCGATTGGAGGCCCGTCAGGTTAAAGTCATCCTCGATGAAGTCTTCTGAGACCTCTGCAAAGTATTCGTGACCCAGCAGCCCGCAAAAGGACGCGATCCACGACTCGGTGACCTGCGAAGAAGACGACATGATGGCGGTCTTGTGTATAAGCCAGTGCCTCTATCTAGACGTGACTGGTGCTGCTGCGCGCAGTCGCAACAGGCGGGTGCGTGACGGGACGAGGGGCTCGAAAATGCGAATGTGGGGGTAAGGACCTATTGTAGGCACAAGAACCAACGGTTTGTCGGCGTCCAAACGCTGGTATCAGGCAAGGGATGTGTATGGCGTCGGAGTCTGCGCTTGCAGTTTTGGTTATCGCATGCGTGATCGTGTTGGAGAGTTCGACAGGGAAGACGTCGGGGGAGGTCGTGATGCAGTTGAAGCTGGGTGGGGGAGGGGTCGAATGAGCGCGAGACTCTACGCAAGGAGCGGTCTAGTTCCCCAGGCGCTGCTTGCGGCGTACGATTTATCGGTGCAGTCGATCCCTTGGACACCCCAGGTGCATGAGTGAAGCAGTGGTTTGGCAGGTCGAGATTGATGGCTGCCCTGGCCGCCCGAGCTTAGCGATAGACCACGTGATCTCCCACAAGCCCTCCGCCCTTGCTTCACCGCCTGTCACGCAGCCACTTTCTTGAGCAATTGGAAGAAGATGAAAGTCATACTATTGTAACAATGTCTAAAAATGGGTTAGGCTGATTCCTCAGAACAAATCCCTCATGATACGCGCCAACTCGTCGTTCTCCTGCCCAAACCCATTAACAAACTCTCCATTGCCATTTGCAATGTCATTTGACGACCCTCCAAATCCTTGTAGATTGAAAATCCCACCAGCCGCCTCAAATAGAGTCGTGAGGTCACTCGCCATTCCGTGCGGCATATCCAGTATGGTGCCATTGCGGCCGTTGGAGAACAGTGCTAGTTCATCCATCGAGTGGCCCGCTAAACCTGCCATAGCCACTGCAGCAGACGAGTGTGCGTCATGAATTTCCTCGTTGCGTACGGCAAGCCCAAGACGTGGCCCAACTTCCTTGATCGTCTTGATTGTCTTCCATAACCGCCTCGAGATGTACGAGTTTGACGAGAGACCTCGCACAAGGTCGATCGCCATGTAAAACTCGTCTCGGCATTCTTGGTTAAATTCGGCCGGCGCGTGAGCCACGGCAAGAAACAGAACTGCAAGTGCTGACACGAGGAAGTAGTTAAACGTTATCTGCTGACTTCTGTAAATATCAGATGTCTGGTTGAGGTATGTCAGTATCCGGATCGTGTCCTTGGCCACTTTGACAACAACATGTGCAAATTCCAAGTTCTCCATAATGGTGGTTGCTGTGTGCAAAACTGGTCTGTATATGAGAATTCGCATCTGGTTTGCCCGAAGGTACAGTACCACTTGGAGTCGCTGGACTAGACGGGCTGGTGTCTCCACTTGTCTGCCACTGTCCGGATGCACAAACCTCAAGCAATCCGGAATGGTGCGATGCCAATTCAGGACTTGGAAATCAAGGAAAGATATATCTTCCTTGTTAATCTTGTCCTGCTGGCCCACATCGGTGATCGACTTCCACACTTTTGAACTAATGATTGAGTACGAGATCATTGCGTGGAGATATTGGCCAGACTCGTGAGACGATGGCTCCTGGTTGGATCAGATTCTGAAATACATGCGGACAGTTGAGCATGACTTACAGGCTTGGGGACATTGTCAATGTCCGCATCTTGCAAGGCGAATGGCATTCCGGTCCCAAAACTCCAGCGACGATCGAGAACGTAGATGGTCCAAAACATGCGGATTGCCGATGCTTGATCCTCAGGATTGGGAAATAGAGTCGCATACGTGTCCCGGCGATGCAAGCCCAATTCAAGACATTGCCGCGAAGCCAACCCGCTTATTCGCCAAGCCAGCCCTTCTTCATCGTGGTGAAAGTGATACATGGCCTACACTTGTGAGCATGACTGAAGACTGTATGAGGACTTTGACTCACAACAAGGACTAGTAGGTTTATGTTGTGTAGACTGGCAGGCTCAGACAATGATTTTTCAACAATACCATGCACGTTTGTGAAGAGCTTCTCCGCCAATGGATCTTTCCCCCTACCTTCGATTACGAGGGTCGTGGCAAGGACTAATTTGAGTGTACTGATCTGCTCATCCATCATTGCGTCTGACCCAGGAAGAGCACGTTGCATGAAGCCCGATCTAGTGGCGGCCTCTACAAAAGTAAATAGCAGTTCAGTATAGCGCAGCAACTTATCCACATCCAGAATTGGGTACATGGCGGCTACTTCGTCGCGCCAGACATGGAGTAGGCGTAGAGCGTCACTCTTGGAGATGGCCCATATCGGGTCTTTGTCGGCGTGGAATCGTCGTTTCGGCGGCATAGCGTTGGCTGCAGGAGGCGATTCCTCTGGTGTCTCTTCGCGCGTCAAGAGGTCTTCGTCATCTTCCTCTTCGCCTGGGTTGATGCCCATGGTTTTGAGACTCGATCTCGCGACGCTGACGTTGAATGCGTTTGACGTTGGCCCATGAAAGCGACGGTGTTTGTTTGACGACTTGGACTGCGATCGCGAAGGATGAGGAGGCAGCATAGGCGTCTGCTGGTAATCCTGGGTGAAGGGGGTGCCCATGGAGCCATTGCTGTGGACTTCGACTTGGCTTCGGAGGGCGCTGATGTTGTGGAACAGATCGTCTACTTGTTGCTGGAGCGAGCTGATATGCGCTGACATCTGCTTGAACCTCGGATATGTCAGCCGCGCCGTGTTTTCGGTTGCAATAAGGCGGTTTACTTACTCTTCGCTCTCTTTAAAGTTGTTGCAGCAGTTGGGCGAGTACTGGCAGTCGAGGTTGAGGTTCCCGCAGCGCTGGCAGGGCGTCTGGCCGTTGCATTTGATCTTCCGGCGTTTGCATTCATTGCAGGCTATGGAGATGTAGCGGTTGCGCTTCGCCCTGGGCTGGGCTGGCGCATCCTCGTTCTTC